TCAGTTCCCAGCACCCATAAGGCAGCTCACAACCATTTGTAATTCCAGTCCTAGGGGGGAGGTAATGACCTTTTCTGGCACCAGCAGACACATGGCACACAGACAAGCAGACACAGACAGACACACAGACACACACACACAGATAGTCTCTCTCTCTCTCTCTCTCTCTCTCTCTCTCTCTCTCTCTCTCTCTCTCCTACCAGAAGCCAGGGTAGATCCACAGGCTTCGTAGTTATGATTCTGAATGGCCCCCTCCCCATGTGCAATGGTGGATGTCACCCAGCTGAGCTGTTTGAAAGTCGATGTGAACATACTTCTGGGGCATGCTAACCTGGAGGCTGCTCCCTAAAAAGACCAGAGCACAGAACAGCAGAACACATTTCTCCTGGGGCTCCCCTGGGAGACTAGGGAATCCTCTTCTCTCTGTGGAAACCACCATGTAGGAAAGAAGGAAAAATTGGGTTTTGTGCTGCCATCTTGTAAATGATTCTTTTTTTTTTTTTTTTTTTTTAGTATAGTTTTATAGTTTGAGGCATCTGCGTCAGTTACTTCTGGGTGGCTGTGAGCAGACACCTGTCAGTAAGGGGAAGGGCTTGCTTTGCTTATGCTTTTGGAGGGTTCAGTACATCACGATGGGAGGCACAGCAGCTCAGTTCTCAGCCCAGAGGGAGCAGAGACAGGAAGGCCAGCCACATGTGTCCTGCATTCGGTTAACCCAGCACCCTGGGGAACAGGTCATCCAACTCCCTCTTATGAGCTGGTCCTGGCTGCTGTGACAAAGCTCTGTGGACTTGGCGGGTGAGGCAGCAGAGATGACTTCCCAAAGCTCTAGAGTCTGGAAGGCCAAGGTGTTAGCGTCCCCTTCCATTGTGGCACCTCGACTCTGGGCTGTGAAGAGTTCTGGAACGGGAGTCTGTTGGACAGGAGAGGGGGCTGGCCTAAAGGTGGGACTGATCTCCCCTGTAAGACACGGGACCCGGTTGGGGACTGACTTGGACCCCAGCACACCAGAGTGTGGCTGGATTGAGGAGATGGGCGATCAAGTTACAACTGAGGTCATTATGGTGAGTGGGCGCTACTCTAGTCTGATGGGGTCTAGAGAGACCAGGGAGTTGGGAGGGTGACTCCATGAAGCGAGCACGAGGGCGAGTTTGATTACCCAGAATGCACGTAGAAAAGCTGAGTGTGTTTCTAACCCCAGCACTGGGGAGATGGACACAGGCTGACCTCTAGGGTTCACTGGCCAGTGAGAGACGGTCTCAGAAAACAAACAGATGCTCCTGAGGAATGACACCAGAGGCTGGCCACTGGTCTCCGTGTGTGTACATACATTCGAGAGAACAGAATAGGGACAACCACCGCACACACCAGGAAGCAAGTGCCACCTGCCATCAGCAGAAGCCGGCCCTGCAATATGTTGGCCACATCAGTCTCCGAGGCTCCTCCAGTGAGGCTTTGGTAGAGCAGCCCTGAAGATTAGGGCATCAGTCCTGGAGCTGACACTGACCTGAGGGCTTGTCCAGACCAAGAGAATGCAGTGGACTCTCTTGAATTTTAGACTCAGAAGTTCTGATTTTGTCCTTAGTCTGCCTCAAGATGACCTCTGAATTCTCCAGGTTAAACTGCTGGGGATAAGATATCAGGGGAGGGAGGCCTGGTGGCTAGCCTGGGCTAGCCTCCTAGTGGGCAGCGAGATTATTTCCTCAGTGAGGCCAGAAACAGGCTTTCAACAGTCTGGGTAATGCCAGAATTGCGAATTTACAGGGTTAGGAAAGCTATTATCTGAAGCCACATTTTGGGGAACGTGCCTTAGGTCATAGTGAGGAGACACTATGACCATGAAAGGAAGCGTTTGAGTGGGCTTTAGATTCAGAAGGTGAGTCCATGGTGGGGAGCATGGGGGTAGGCAGGAGGCAGGCACCGTGCTGGAGCAGTGGCTGAGAGCTCACATATGGTCTCTAAGTTGCAGGTCTGTGTGTGCGTGTGTGTGTGCGTGCGTGCGTGCGTGCGTGCGTGTGTGTGTGTGTGTGTGTGTGTGAGAGAGAGAGAGAGAGAGAGAGATATTGAGAGAGATACTGTGGCATGGGCTTTTGAAACCTGAAAGCAATCCCTTCCTCCACTCTAGGGACACACCTCCTTCAACCAGGCCACATTCCCCGATCCTTCCTAAACAGTCCCAGTAGCTGGGGACTAAACATCCAAGTATATGATGAGCCCATGGGGCCACTCTCATTCAAACCACCACGGGGTTGGCAGATAAGCAGGCGACAAGCCTCAGCTGAAAGGACACACAGGACCCCCCACTGTGCTAAAGGGCTGAAGGACCAGGCATTCATGGCACTTCCACACTTGCCGCGCCCAGGGAGTGGGGAGGCACAGATAACGGTCATCCATGTGGGTCACAACCCCAGTAAGCAAAACACATCAGCAAACATGAGCTGGGCTGTGACTACGCCATACTTAAATGTAAGGGAAGAGGGTGAGAATACAGGGGTAGGAGATGCCGACCTGCAAATCTAAGTAAGGCTGCCTATTAAGAATGTAGAATCAGGGCTGGAGAGATGGCTCTGTGGGTAAAGAGCTTACAAGACAAGCACGAGGTCCTGACTTCTCAGTCCATTCAAAAAAAGCTGGGTGCAGCTGCCACACGTGTGATCCCAGTGGTGAGCGGGTCACCACTGGGAGGAGATGGGGGCAGGAGGATCCCGGGAGCCGACTGCTGAGCTCCTCAGAAATAAGGTGAAGACATCGAGGAAGATGTCCTGACGTTGACCCCTGACCTCTCCATAACATCTTCGGTAGAGGGGATAACCAGTACCCAGTTTCCCGAGGTGCACACTTACAATGACTTACTTAGTTGTGACACATTACAGGTCTCTCGGTAGTCTATGATCTTGCTTTGTTTTGTGACAAGGTCTTGCTTTGCAGTTCAGGCTGGAAGACTCTTTGCCACTCTCCCAAATGTTAGGATTGCAGGCATGCACTGCCACACCCGGATCTCTCTGTTTCAAGAAAGACCTTTGCAGCTAGCTAAAGATAGGGCATTTCTTGAGGTGGTCACCATTTGCAAGTGTCCCAGCACAGATATGAAGGCACAAGTCTTGTAGTGCAGTTCGGACTCTCCCTGGGGAAATACTCCCACCAACTGCAGACCGAAGCTGCTGCAGTACCACACAGGTTAACCCTGGCAAAACAATTAATTTGTTGAGCTGACAGAACATGAGTGAGGGGTGGCCAACGGGAGCACGGATCACCCCAAAGCACCTGTGTCAGTGGAAAGGCTCACCCCTTCATACATGGAGCCCTCCCTTCAGTTAACTGCCTGCATGCACTCTAGGTACTTCTGAGTGCAGGTTCAGTCAACGGGTGGGGTGGGGCAGACAGGGGGAGGTGCTGGGATCTCAGGGTAAGGTCTGGTGACCTTTCCTAACCCATCCCCTTTCTGTGAGGCCTCATCATGAGGGACAAGGGTCTCAGAGAGCAGCATCTACAATGGCGCTTACACACCTTCACACACCAACTGTGGGGGCTGAAGGCTCAGAGCTCTTCTGGGACAAGGTGACATTGTCATTGACAGCCTATTGAAGAAAGATGCTAATTTTCATTGAGGCCTAGGCCTTCCATAGTAACTTAATTAGGCCATGCAGTAAAACCTTCACTAATAACTGTCTGAAGGACCCCTGAGTCACCAGAGAATGACAAAGCTTGGCAATCAACCAGCCTCTGGGGGAGGGAAAGGGTGACTTCACTCCTTCCTCCCACAACTGTCCTCACGGGTCACCAAAGACCCCAGACTTTGGTCTGTTCCCCACTCATTGGCAATGGCAGAACATCATTTACATGCACATGTGTGCAGACTGCATACATGCAAACACGCCCATCACAGACTTTTAGTTTAATTTAATTTTTTTTTTTTTTAAACAGGGTTTCTCTGTGCAGTCCGGGCTATCCTGGAACTCACTCTGTAGATCAGGCTGGCCTCTCTGAAATCCACCTGTTCCTGCCTCCCAAATGTTGGCATTACTACATCACCATATCCGGTTTGTGTTTAAGACTGAGCCCAGGACCTCATGCAAGCATTCCATCTCAGCTGCATCCCTAGCCTACAGCACAGCATTTCAGGAAAAGAGAAACAATCTATCCCAAGACAACCGCCTCCAGCTTTGTAGTATTCCGTGCCTATCCTATACACCTCTTGGGTTGACTCTTGTCTTCTACTGCCATTTTCCTGTAGCTGTTCTCTATCACCTACTAATTTATAGGCTCAGAGCTGGGGCGTTAGGTTTAAAATCTGGTACCTGTGCGTTGAATGAAGACTCATGGATGTAGCCCAGACTGGCCTTACATTTGGCATCTTCTTGCTTCAGGCTGTGTGGCATGTTGAACCAGTTGCTTGCACACACACACACACACACACACACACACACACACACACACACACACACACACACACACACCTAAGCAGAGAACTGAGGAGATGTGAATCTGAACTAGCTGAGGGCAGCACCACTTTGCTGGGCTGCAGGGAGTCTGGGGTAGCCACCCGCCAGGCTTTGTCCCAGCCAGGTATCATGGAGAGGCATTTCAGTCCTTAATCAGAATTGAGCCGCTCTCAAGAAACCCTCAGACTCCAGTGCTCATGATTTTACAGGAAGCCAAGTCCACACTTGAGCTCCAAACCACTTTGCTGTTTCAAACTGGTTTAATATAACACGGCGACACCTTTATTCACGAGTGAAAGATTTTTTAAAAAAGGAAGCCGTCATATTTCACATCATACCCTGCATCGAGCCTTCCACGACTCATAAATCTTTGTCCTTCTGCCTTGGCCCACATCATGTCTGTCCCTGTCTTCCATTTGTGATTTACGGCCGAATTCCTTATTTTGCCAGATTCATAAACTGTGCAGTACTCTACGGAGTGCCCACTTTGTACACCAGCCCACAAGCCAGTAAATTTATTGTCTATGAACTGTTACTTTGAAAAATTACATCAATGCAAAGTGATTGCCTTTTTAGCCTCCCTAGCCAATAATTTCATTCTGTTGTTTTGGAGGGGACATCTGAGGTCACAGGATGACAGATAAAACGGGCAATCCCTCAATGAGGAGAGTCGGAAGTCTTCTGGAGAAGCCCAGCAGGACCACTCTCTGTCATCATGGATAGGCTGGCCTTCTGCTGCCTACTCTTCACAGGACTCCTGTACCCACTCCTGTCCCTGCCCGTCACTGACACCGGTGAAAAGACCCTTCAGCTTCCAGGTGAGGTGACTGGCTTTTTGGGTATCGGTTCTAGGTGCCACTTGGGAGTAGGAAGGGGTTCTGGCTAACGGGGGTCTGCTGTAGGTGTGACCATGTTCTGAAGAGAGGATCTGGGGACCTTACTCTGTGTCTTAGATTTAGCAATGTCACAGTTTAAAGACAGACACATAGCATTGCTTACTTCATGTCACAAATGCAGTTCAAACTTTAGTAGTGCTCAGGTTTTGTTTATAAAAACTGTACTGAATTTAGAACATTACCTTCAGCTACAAACTATCAGGGTCCTTATTTTATCATCTGAGTTGCATGAAACAAAAAAGGCTTAATTAAGCACCATGGCAGCTGAAGCTGGGGACCTTGTAGATATCCAATATGTTTTATGTTTTCCTTATGACTTAATTTTCTATTAAAATCCAAATTAAACTTTAAAAAAATTACCACAACCCCTTATTTTGACATTAGCTTTGTGTATTAAAGTCTGTAAGAATCTAACTGGATTTAACATTTCGTCTGGCTACTTAAAACAGAACTTTATTTACGTTCATCATGCGTGCATGCACACACACCCCGTGGCGGTCAGAGGACGACTGGATGGAGCTGGCTCTCCAGCTTGGCAGCGAGCGCCTTCCTGTGCGGTGCCAGTCCCCTGACCCCGCTTTTGGGTACTCTCAGACATTTTCTTACGTAGGTTCTCCCCCAAGCTGCTGCCGCTATGCTTCCTAGTCTGTGCTGCCCCTCCCCCCCAGCATTCTCATCATTTTTGAGCATCACTCACTTCATGTCAATCAGCCGCTGGCGTCACTGAATTCATACTGGCACTGAGCCTGTTGGTCAAAACCGGGCAGGAGCCGATTCTGTTATTTTAGAAGAGCCAGTACACACTGCAAAAAGAAATCGAGAGTGTTCAGGTGCTGATGCCAGTCCAGACGTCTACCAAGAAAGAGCTGAAATGAGGCAGCCTCTTACTGAGGGCAGCCTCCTACTCAGGTTCCAAACAGGTGGAAGGAAGCTCAGAGTTCTTGTCAGAATTTTCCCTGCGTGGCTCCTCCACAAACACCCCTCAGCACAGACATCTACACATTCTCAGTGTGTGAGGGTTACCATCAGAACTCCCAGGGAATACCGTGAGCGCACCCACGGGCCGTTAGGAGGCTTTGCTCAGTCTTCCCATCAGGGCTGCACATGGATGTTTGTCAGCCTGTGGCTTTCCAGCCAGACTCCCCGGGCATCTCAACATGCTGGTGCCCACCCAAGACGCCCTGCCAGCCTCCTCCGGCCACACACACCTTGCATGCACCGTGTGCTCAGTGCACAGCGTGCACGTAGGTAGCACACGCCTCATACTCGCTCTCATCCCTCACATACATTTGCCACACATGCTGCACGCACTTACACCTCACACCACACACTAACCATACAGTTTAGTTTGCACATAGCACACGCCCCAAGTATACTTAGCCATGCATACCTTACATGCACGGGCCACACTTCCCTCCCTGATACACGCTCCAAACACCTTGGGTGTCAGTCACATTTCACACAGGAGGAGTCACAACGCAGCCTCTGAAGCCTCGGCTGAATCCCCATTGAGACGTGCAGTTGAAGGGCTGCCATCCTTTCTTTTTCTTCCCATCCACAAACCTCAGAGTAAGGGGGCCACAGGTAGCAATGGGTAAGTGGAGATGAGACAAATCAGACTTTCTGAGCCGAACTGGGATCTTATGCCACGACCTTCCCCTCTTGCTCAAGGCAGTTGGTCCTAGGGTGGTGAAATAGCAGGGTGGGGTGGTCCAAGACTTCCTCACTTTTGGACTCTGGGTGGCTTGTGTAGCAACTTTACTTTTGCTAAACTCTGCTGTGAGAGATCACCAGTTACTCATTTGGAGTTCTGTCATCCACCTCCCTGTCCTGGTAACTCAACAAAGACAGGGGGCAGAGATGGCCAGGGAGGGCTACTTGTCTATCTCTACCCCACAGTGCTTGAAGAAGATGCTCGCCTGGCTCTGGAGGAGCTGGAGAGGACCGCCCTCCTGCAGACGCTGTTGAAGCAGACATTGGGCACTGAGGCAGGTGAAGGACTCAGGGAGGCAGGTAAAGGCATCTTGGGCTTATAGGTGGATTCCATAGCTGCTAAATTTGCCTTCTAGTTATCAGAGGAAGCTCTACAAAGCTTAATTATATGAAAATGAAACAACATTTCCTTATAAAAACCCTTTCTTAGCCTATCTTCCTCCACCATCCCCTTTCCACCACTCTGGCTTCAGCGAGTGCTTCCAAGCCCAGGCTCCCCATGACTGCTTAAGGCAGGCAGTGCTGGCTACCCAGTGCCACTGAGGTCAAATGTAAATCTTTGTGTCTTACTTACTACCGTCTTTACAAACTATTTAATCTCTCTGTATCTGTTTCTTAATCAGTACACAGGAATGGTAAGGGCAGTCTATGCCAGGCATGATGGTACACACATGTAATCTCAGCACTCAGAGACTGAGGCAGGATTGTGAGTTCGAGGGAAGTCTAGGCTACCTATGATCACACACACACACCAGCAGCCCCCCCCCAAAAAAAAAGAAAGAAAAAAGACGTCTTTGAATGACTTTGAAGAAGGAATGCAAACAAACAAACAAATATGCACATAAAATGCTCAGCTGTTCTGAGTGATGAACAGCACCAGACATGGGGCTCACACTCGTAAGACCTGGAGTCTCCAGACAGCCTGCGTCCCTGACTCACACTGAACTCGGGTACAGGATGGACAGCCTCTTAAAAGACACTGCCGACTGGCAGTCCAGCTGGAGTTCTGACAAGCTGGGAATGGTTAATGCAGAAAATTGAGAATGCGGAGGTCAGAATACTCGTCTGCATTCAATTCCGCGTCCCTTGGCGTGGGAAGAGCTGGAAACTAGACATAATTTAGGGATACTGTTTTTCTGGGTTTCCCCCTTCTTTGCATGTGTGATGTGCATGTATGTGTGTGGGTCCATGTGAGGGTGTGTGTGTGTGTGGGGGGGTGCTGGCAAAGAAGACACTGGCTGTGTTCCCTCAGCTCTCTTCACTTTATTTATTGAGGCAGGGTCTCTAACTGAGCCTGGGCCTCCTTAACCCGACTGTTTTAGCTAGCCAGTTTGTCTCTACCTTCTGGGTGCCTATAGGATCAAGGCGGCCTCTGCGCTTGCCCAGCTTTTACATGGGTTCTGGGGATTGGAACTCTGGTCCTCAAGCCTTCGAGACTAACGTACCATGAGCCTTGGAATCTTAGATTTTGTATGTTTTAAAATAAGCATAAATGCTGGGTATGGTGGCAAATGCCACAGGTGGGCCTCTGAGGCCAGCTTTGTCTATACAATGAGTCCCTGCTTTAAAAAAAGAAAAACAAGAAACAGTAGATCTGATGCCCCGGTGTCAAACTGTTTTCCAGACCCCAGTGCTGGCACTCCAACCCTGCAGGGAAGCCTGAGAAAGGTAAGGAAGTCTGGGCTTTGAGAAGGAAGAGATGAACTTGACATACTCAATTTTACAGAGCCCTTAATTCATGCCCCAAGAGTGTTCTGGGTGGAAATCACATCTTCAAGTAACTGGCCAGTGTTCTTCCAAACTTAATTTCCCTAAACGGACTCACAGAATATATAACTGTAACAGGAACGCAGCAAGCACCTGTGCTGGGTAAATCTAGTGACATGTAAGAGACGGGAGCAGCAGGTGAGGCTGCCACTGCGTTTGCTACCTACTGTGGATTCAGTGTGTAGCTGGGGAAAAGTCATGGCCCAGATGATTGCCTGCTTCTAAACAGAAAGCAGCGTGGCTAGGGTGACAAGACACCATGACCAACGCAACATTCATCACTGGAGGAAGTCAGGACAGGAACTCACACAGGGCAGGAATCTGCAGGCAGGAGCTCATGCCGAGGCCATGGAGGGGTGCTGCGTACTAGCCTGCTCTTCATGGTTTGCTCAGCCTGATTTCTTATAGAACCAAGCACCACCAGCCCAAGGATGGTACCGCCCATCATGGGTGGGTACCACCCCCATCAATTTTTAGTTAAGAATATGCCCTTCAGGCTTGCCTATAGCTAGATCTTACTTACGAAGGCATTTTCTCAGTTGAGGCTCCCTCCTAACTGATGACTCTAGCTTGCGTCAAGCTGACATAAAACTATCCAGTACAAGGATTATCCCTAAGGCCTAAAACCATATATGTAGGGTGTGCCCATTTTATTCCAGAATAAAAAGAAAACTACAGCTCAACCTTTAAGACAAGCCGATTTTAACAGGGAAGGTCTATGTTACACACAGGTTAAGTGTCCAGACCCTACCACCGACAGAAGCCCCACACAGAACGGTTACCAAGAGTATAGGGAACTCAACCACAGGGCTAAGCAGACTGGACGGGGAACTGAGAGAGCTCCGAGGAGCCCCAGGGAGGGCTCTGAATTTAGGGTTATTTATCTGTTGTCCAGGACTTCCCGTCTCAGGCGTTGTCTGGACAACACTCCAGCACCATGTTGAGTCGTCTTCTGGCAAGAACCAGAAAACAACGTAAGCAACATGGGACTGTCTCAGAATGCTTCTGGAAATACTGTATTTGAAGAGATACAAGCATCCATCCATCTCCTCAGAACCACCACTTTAGAGAACTAAAAAGGAAGAATGCCTGAAGAAAAATCAGGCTAACTACACCCCACCCTTCATTACTATGAGAAATAAATCCTCTATGTTTCTCAAGGATCACATGTGGTCAAGTTCACTTGCATACATATCCTGAAAAATCTTTGACTTCTCTCCACCCCCCACCCCCTGCCCGGTTATCCGTTATCCTTAGCTCAGTGGCAGAGAACTTGCCTAATCATGTGAGCTCTCTGGTCCATCCTGGGCACTGCAAAAATGTCTAAGTAAAGTAATAAATGAGCACAAGCACACAGCACAGCGTAGCAAGAAAAAGGTACAAAGACAAATTTATCTAAAAGTCTCTCAAGTCACAAATGATTTAAATAAATTACTTTGTTATGACATCTTCTCAACCCTTAAAAAATGAATATATAAATGGGTTTTTGTGTTTGGGGCAGGGGAGACAGGGTCTCCTGTATCCTAGGTTGGCCCTGAACTCAGTCTGAGCCAGCAATGACCTTGAACTCCTGGTTCTCCTGCCCCCATGTCCTGAGTTCTAGGTGTGCAAGCACTTCACTTTCTGTAGTACTGAGGAAGCACCCAGAGCTTGGTGCTCCTGAGGCAAGCACTCTGCCGAGTTACTCCAACACAGAAAGGAGTGCCTTAGTTTGAAAAGCTCTAACACAAAGGTGCCTGGCAGCGAGGGCCGGGGGATGGTCTGAACTATTTCTTGTGGGGAAGTCTGTGTGCTGATTCTCACTTTTAGTAGGTCACAGTACTGAGCACTCAAAAACTTCCCTGCTCTCAGCCTCTGTGAGTTAAGGTCACAGCCTTACTCATACTAAGTAATGGAAACTCACTTCCCTTCAGCTACTAAAGGCAAAACACACTGTGTTCTTAGAGCTGGTGCAGGGACTCAGGCTGTGCAATGGAATGGACAGGTTACTAATCTTTAAGATACACATATGTGTAAACACACTAGCATTCCATGTACAATTGTGGCAGTCTGTGGATGACTAGACACCTTGTCTGAGTGCCACAGGCCCTGTGACTGCCCACAGAACCACAGACTGGGAACAGTAAGCTTCCGAAGAAGCAAACTTCCCTGTGAGACCAGCCATTCCACTGAAACCTGCAGTTGAGTAATATATCTGCACCAACTATGAGACATTGTGTGACTCTTACCTTTGTCAGCAAACATCACCAATGCCTTCAAAGCTCTGATAACGCTTCCTAATCTAGACATCAATGACAGCTTGGAAGAAGGGAAGCAGGCATCTAAACTCAAGCATTCTGACATCGAGTCTGGCTATGAGAATTATGGTTCTTCAGTATAAGAATCAAACTGGAGCCTGGTGGTGGTGGCACATGCCTTTAATCCCAGCACTCGGGAGGCAGGGGCAGGTGGATCTTTATGAGTTCAAAGCCAGCCTGGCCTACAGATCGAGTGCCAGCAAAGGCTCCAAAACCACACAGAGAAACCCTGTCTTGAAAAATAAACTAAACCAACCCTTTCCCCAACCCCCCCCAAAATCAAGCTAGCTCTAACTCCCTACTGGCAACCCCAAAAGCCTAAATGGTTTCTAGTGTACTAATATAATCTAAAAACCATCAGTAGGCACAGTGACTTGGGGGCATTCTCACGATAGGTCCCTAAGCCCATCCTATCGGCTGTGCATCCTCTGCTGCCTCAGCAGCCTATTCTGCACAGTGAGAATAACAGCTGGGCTGTGCAGAGAACGGGCTGCCATGAGGAGAGGCTACAGAGCACCTACACTGGCCAGCCAGAGGCAGACGCTGTCTTGTCATCAGAGGAAGTAACAAAAAACTGGAGAGGTATGGATTTATGGCTTTGCTGGCCCTAGGGGGCCATATTTTGATGTCTAGATTTGGCTGCTTTAAGTAACAATCACACTGTAAAATACAAGCTCACCCTACAGAAGCTTCAGGAATTAAGTTTGACAATTTTATTAAATTGGCTTAATAGAATTATACATGTGCATACACACATAAACATCTAGGGTCCAGTGAATTCTTCTCAGGGCCCAAATGTGGACCAAACACATTGGGAAAACGCATCTTTCTTCCAGAGTAGGAACAGAGGCAAACGTATGCAGCAAACACTTGTGAGAGTGGTGATGCTGAGCTAACTCAGGGACTCAGGGGATGGAGGGTGGTGATGCTGAGCTAACACAGGGACTCAGAGGATGGAGAGTGGTGATGCTGAGCTATAACACAGGGACTCAGGGGATGGAGAGTGGTGATGCTGAGCTATAACACAGGGACTCAGGGGATGGAGGGTGGTGATGCTGAGTTAACATAGGGACCTCCAGGGGATTGCAGGAAGCAGCTCTGGCTGACACCACACATGCTCAAGGCTTGCTTACACAATCAAGAGCATTCTCCACTTTTACACATACACTCTTTATTGTTTTTACTCAAAAAGAAAAAAAAAGATACCCAATGAAAAGATTAATAACCATTAAGCACAAGCAAATTCACAATTAATTATAAACAAATTGCCAATTTCATTGAAATTCACCACCTTGTAAATTATAGTGATGTTTCATTTAATCCATTCATACGACATCTTGTTTTCTTAAATTCTGACATGTGACCCAAAAAAATAAAGCTTTGGGGGAAAGAGTCATGTAAACACTGAAGTCTACAATACATACTTTTGTTATTCAATAGTTATTAATACAAAAAGTTAATAAGCTTGAACAAGAGTTTCCACTGGGTATGGCCCCCACGGGGGGCATCAAGCTCTGCCCGACCCACCTCAGCAGCAGGGACTGGATCTGAGTGTACTGATGGCATCTCTGGCAGAGGGGAGACTTGGGTAAAGGCTTTACAGACCCGACTACAAGCACCAGTTTCAAGTCAAGCCTGGATAAGACATACGTACTCTACAAGATGAAACTAAGGCAGAGAACACAGGAGCGGTAGATAAACACGTGCCCAGAACAGACAGGAAAGTGCCTTACCTTCCCAGAGAACATCAGGTCTGGTGTATGTGTGCACAGATGCAGGATGATCCCTGAATCACTGGAGAAGGCCAGCCTGACCAACACAGGACTCCCTGTGACTTCATTTAACTACCAGGATGGAGTAGAAGTCTCTATTCACACAGCAGGAATACTTGTGTGAAACTGCATAATAGCAGAAAATTCTAAGACTGTCATAGGCAGCCCTTGAGAATGCTTTTGACACCTTTCGACAGGACTGCCATCCAGAAAAACCATTATTTTAGAAAAGAAGTCTAAGCCACAGAGTTGGAGCACAGGGCCAACAGTCATCACGACCTTCTCATGACCAGAATGACAGTACTTTTATCAACAGCTATCAACTGTCAGGGAAAAAAGTATTTTCCTAAAACAAAACAAAGCAACAAAAAAGAAACACGTGTCAGACCGCTGGAAGTCCAGTCCAGGGCAGGCTACTGCAGACTTCTTTTCCTGCCAGTTCCATCCTCTGAGCTGCACCGGGCGGATCCCACAGTCATCTGAGGTTGAAGAAGGGATCTTGGGTGTCTCTAATCTAGAGCACCGGATGGTGAGTGCACACACAGGTAAACAGGCACACTCACTTCCCGAAGGCTGGGGTCACCGAGCTCCCCTCACTCTGCAGGCCCCAAACACTTACCCTATTCAAGGGCAAACAGAAGGCAGTGCCAATCAGGCTCTGGTCGGCATGGAGACCTCTGTGTGATCAACTGTTAGACTGAGCACTTAAGTACATACATCTCCAGTATAACAACGACATCACTTTAAAACCTACTCACACTTATTTTATAATAAAAAACAAACAAACAAAAAACCTTTAAAAACACTATTGGCTGAGTAAGCAGCTCTTTCAACATGCAAGGCTTAACTTCAATTCTCCAGAGTAAGCCCTGCTCAAGCAGACAGATCTACGGAGGAGTTTCCGTGAGAGGACCGACATTAAAGGAAGTGCATGGACAAGAACCAAGGCAAACAACCAAAACCAGCACTCCCACATTTACTAGAGAGCGATGCACTCTAACATTTTGTGAGAAAGGTGGAATGTCCTATCATATTCAGGAAGGGAAGCACCATGCTGTACAAAGCCTATGGAAAACATCGTGTGAACCACACATCTTGTAGACAGAATTCAAGTATTCTAATGGGAAAATGATTTTGCAATAATAGAACAAAACAAATGAGACTAAGGCTTGGGATTCATTGTAACTGTAACTTACACAGAGTGACTTCTGAAATCAAGTTTTACAGAGGCACTCTGGTGCTGTCAGAGGCAGCTACGTTAGAGAAGGCTTCTCAATGGCCGTTTTAATACCAGGAACTAGAGCCTATGCAAATGCTTGCTTTGGGAAAAGTCAGCTACTGAAGATGGAGAAAGGAGGGCTGGGGTACAGGTCAGCAGCAGAGAGCAGCACCCTGGGTTTGATCCCTAGTGCTACCAAAAACAAAACAAAACAGCAAGGGAAAAGCTTAATGTTGATGACTTTGCCATTTAAGAGTTAGGAGTTTAGTGAAGATGCCTCTGTGTCCCACATGACCTTGAAAAGGTGTGAACAGAAATCTTCACAGTTGCTCAACTGGTGTCTTCTCCTGGGTGCTGCTCATGGGTCTCTGCAGTGTTACCAAGTGAACCTCTGTCTTCACAGGTGACACAATTCTCCAAAAAAGAACAAAGGCAAGTGTGTTATGTGATGCTAAAGATGTACTGGTTGGCTTCTGCCAGCCTGACAGAAACATAGACATACCTGGGAAGAGAGCATCTCAAATGAGAAAATACCCCCAGCAGACTGGCCCGTGGGCAAGCCTTCTTGACTAGTGACTGCTGGGAGAGGGCACAGCCCACTGTGGGCGGGGCCACCCTGGGCGGGTGCTCCTGGGTGCTGTAAGAAAGCAGATTGAGCAAGCCATGGGGAGCAGCCCAGTAAGCAGAGCCTCCACAGGCCCCGCATTAGCTCCTGCCTTCAGTCCCAGCCCTGGCCTTCCTTGTACACTGTACAATCTGTGCGGTGAAACAGATCCTCTCCTCCCCGAGCTAAAACAGAAGGCAGAGAAAGAAACAGCATCAATAAGGAGGGTACCTACAAGGAAGCCAACAAAAAAATCCTGAGAAAGACAAAACTGATAAAAACAAACAAACAAACAAACAAACAACAACAAACTCACTGGAGGAATTCAAAGGGAAATTTGGGGGAAGTGAGAACTGAGATCTCGAAGGCAATGGACAGTTGTCAGGAAGGAGAAAGACAGACTGAATGAGCACCGTTTAAAGCTTCTGTGGTCCAAGAGGACTCTACACAGCCATCAGAGGAACCAGAGGCCGGGAAAGGAAGGAAAAGGATGTACTGGAAAACATAAAGGCTGAAATCTTCCACATTTCGAAGCTCAATGCCCTCCAAGTGGGATCAGCTCAGAGGCACACACCCAGGTACACACAGACACTCCCGGACACATTATAACCAAACAGAGGCACCAAGGCAGGACAGGGCGTCACACACAGGATTCTTAGCAGGATCATCAGCAGTGCCTCAGCAGAAACCATGAAGGACAGATGGCAGTAGGCAGAAAAAAACGAAGTGCTTAACTTATTTCTTCACCTAAGAATCCTTTATCTGGCAAAACTTAAAATGTAAGGGAGATATCAAGTCCAGGAAAACAAAGGCCGGGGAAGGGGCATGATCTCATGTCTGCAGTGTAGACATGATGGAGGTGGGGCTGGAGAGATGGCGCAGTGGTTAAGAGTGCTGGCTGCTGCAGCAGCAGAGTGGGGGGAGATTTTCAGCACACAGGTCGGCTCACAACCACGCCAGCTTCAGTTCTGGAGGACCCGGTGCCCTCGCTTGCCCTCCCAGGGTACAGGTATGCATGTGAAGGCACAAACATACGCAGGCAAAACACCATACACACAAAACAACAGAAAAACAGAAAGGAACTGGCAAAGGAAACACTGCAAGCTGACGGAGGATAGTAACTCAAAGCCGTATGACACTGCAACCCTGGCTTGCCAGTCCGTCATATAATTTAAGACATTAATGCATAAAAATGACTGGAGTCTGTGTTTTGGGGCTCTCAGGGCACCAACAACGGAAAGAAAATGGTTATGGAGCTCCAGAGGAGCAGAGCTCCTGCAGGCTGAGATAACTCCCTGCAATGCGGGCCTTTCTTACATGCGGAATTTCAACTTTCAAACAGGGATGTGTGTGAACTGTGTACTGCTGATAACTCTTTCAGCTGGTCACACTTCAGGTAGTGCCCTTACCACCTAACACTGAGCCGGTGAAGAGAAGTACTTCACCAGGTTGCGGCATGCTGTCTGACAACTGTAAGGAAAGAGCTGTGACGCTCACAGTGGATACTCCCTCACCCGGGCCCCTCACTTTAGACCCCAGCCTCTTTCCTCCCAGTTCTGTGCAATGTCACCTAGGTGTCCTGTGCTCTAAGGAGGCGATGACAGTCTATAGCACACAGAAGGCACTGACAGGTGGGGCTGCTGCAGGGAGTGGAGCTGTGGAACTGTGGGGCAGCTATGAAGGTATCCTTCATACTGGGATGAGATGGTTCTGGTCACGTGGCTGTTTGGGGGTCACCTGTGCTTTGTATGTAGGCTCAGTCAACTCACTGGCCTTTACCCTAACAGTACTATAGTCTGTGGTTGTGCCCTTTCTGGTATGAATAGACGTTTGTTTATGCCTCTGAGTAACTTCACCAACAGTGTTAGCAAGACCGGTACACAAAACCTAGTACACACTGTACTAATTATTTAAAACCTAGAGCACTGTACTGTGCCCTCTCCCAGCAGTCACTAGTCAAGAAGGCTTGCCCACGGGCCAGTCTGCTGGGGGTATTTTCTCATTTGAGATGCTCTCTTCCCAGGTATGTCTATGTTTCTGTCAGGCTGGCAGAGGCCAGCCAGTACATCTTTAGATGGCATTAGCGTCACATAACACACTTGCTGTGGTTGGTAGTTAGACTACGAAGGTGATGGTGACGATGAGGACTGCCGCTGGTGGGTGATTGTGTGCTTACTTGGAGGTGTCTTCCTTGAGGGGCCGCTGGCTGTGGACCGGGAGTGCACGGTGGCCAGCTCCTCCTTCTGTGCAGGGGAGAACTGAGGCTGCTGCTGCTCCATGCTGCTGAGCTTCTCCAGGTCCTGTCTCAGCACCTCTTCCCTCCCCCTAAACACAGCAAAGGCTGTGAGAACACTCTTCTCTCCTAGCGAGACGCAACGCAACGCACAACTGAGCTATCTGCCACAGTGACACAGCAGGCCTCTGCTTCTTGGTGGAAAACTATATAAAAGAAGCACATCAGGACTGCATTTCCTTAGCTCTCCTCTGCCAGGGCCAATGGGAAACTTCTTGAACATTTGTGCCCCAGAAGCACAGCCCATATACTCACATCCTGTGGTCTGGGTAACAGCATGTTTGCTTTGTAAGGATCTGCACATGTGCAACTGCAAACATTCCTTAAAGAACCACTTGGTGCTTAAATTTAAATGCATACATTTGTAAGCACATTTTTCTATGACGGTGTACACTGCATTTAAAAGTCACCTTCCATTGAAAAATCACATAAGGAAACAAGCAAGCGAAGCCAGTGAGATGGTGGAGAAGGAAAGGGCATTTCTGGCCAAGTATGATGACTGGTGCTGTCCCCTGCCGTCTCCACACCCACACACCACAGCAGTGAAGGTGCTTCCCTTCCCCTTCACCAAGCTTGAGTCTGATCCCTGGGACATACATGGTAGGCAGAGATCAGGGTTCCACATGTGTGCCGTGGCGCACTCACATATGTACACACAACAAAATAAATAGACTGTAATATAAACTGTCTTGAATTATAGAAAGAGATCACCCAAACACACAGCTGGGTTTTCAGAAGTGCTTCCGTACCTCTTGGGCACCTGGTATGTCATGAGAACACACTCTGGTGTTTGTTCTATCATTCTCCAGATGGACTCTTCAGCCACCCTGGGAAAGGCTTCATCTCTCTGTCTATCCTGGGACTTCTGCCTGTTTTCAGAAAATCCAGAACAGTCGCTGCTACTGAAGTAAATTCTGCTGGTACTGCTTCCTACCAAAGGCAAGCAAAGCGGAAGACACCTGTCACAAGTTTATTTGCTAAAGAGTTCAAACTCTGGCAACTACCTGCCCATCCCAGCAGCAGCAGTTTCTAAAGACATTAACCCACCAGAAACTGCCCAATAACCACCCATACAACGTAGTCCTCTTGAGCAATGGGAAGGAATGGACTTGGACTACTAGTACATACAATAAGGATGAGTCTCAACAGCATTATTCTGAGACTCAACACAAAAAGCCTTCACGCTGTCTTATTCGGTGAAATCACAGAAACTGAAGTGGCAGAAAGCACACCATCAGCATGCCGAGAGACAGAGAGAAGACCAGGGCAGCAATCGGCTGTCAGCCTGAATATAAAACACCCTCATAGGCACAGTTGGAGCATTTGGTCTCTAGCTTGTGGCACTGTTCTGGGGAGTAGTTGAACCTTTGGGGGCAGGGAACACCAGGTGGGTCCCTGTGTGTGTGTCTGTATATGCATGTGTGTCTGTGTGTGTGTGTGTGTGTGTGTGTGTCTGTGTGTGTGTGTGTGTGTAGGATTTTGAAGGTTGTAACTCAGCCCCACTCCAGGTCTGAGCTCTGTGTTTCCTGTCTGCTGTGCCAAGGCCCCTCCACTTCAGACCAAGATGCTCTCTTAACCATTCCTTCCCTACCACGATGGACTAGACCCTCTGAACCCTGAGCCAAAACAAATCCTTCCTTGTCTAAGTTGCCTCTCAGTCAGGCATTCTGTCACAGCAATGACAGAAGTCACCAACACAGATTGTAAATGGCTACAGAACTTTCTAGAGCAATAGAAATATTCTAAGTGGTGATTGTAACAGTTACTTACACCAATGTCAACTTTGTCAAACAAAGCCATGCCCACAAGAAAGCCACAAAAACAAAGGGGGAACCCCCCAAACTTTCCTTATTCATTGGTGTCCAAGCTGGAAGGCCTGGACACAGCGACCCTGGTAATAGTGTGAAAAGCTGATTGTCCAGGTCAACTACCTGAGGCAGCTGCAGACAGAGACTCCTGGTGCACTGATGCTGTGGCTAGTTCATCGGTGGCACAGTGACTGCTCCTACTGCCACTGTTCCCTGTGACACAGTGCTGGAAAGGAGGGGACACAAAGGCACTTAACACCCCAAGTTTTAGTTAGCAGGCAGATCTCTAGCTTTACATACTGAATAGAGAGAGACGCTTAAGTCTGACTTCAAGAACGTGGTTAAAATTTCTTTGGTGCCACTGCACTGCATTCCGAACACTGCTGCAAGTGTGGGCTTTTATTTCTGTCATCTGACAAGCACAGCTGAACACTTTACATGTTCTAAGCACAGCGTTTCAGACTCTAGGAACACAAGGCAGATAAAACAAAGTCCCGGTCTTCTGAAAAAAAAAAACACTGTATCATTCAAACTGGGCTTAGGCCATAGGGCAGCCATCATCCCAGCCCTCTCTTAAATGCCCCACTGAAGCTAGCCCATCTAACTAGTGACAGAGCTCTGTTGCGCTCGGTGGGTAAAGGCACACCACTGTCCAGCCCCATGACCTGAGTCTGATGCTAAGACCCACCTGGTATAAGGAGAGCACCGATGCCCTTCACATGCACACTGTGGCACATTAGCACCCACTCAACCCTCACAGAAAGTAAATGCCATTTACTTAAATTAAGAGTCTGTATCATGTGTTATATACAGGTGACCAAGTGTCCGCAGAGGCCAGACAAGGACTTTGGATCCTTTGGAGCTGGAGTTACAGGAGACGGCTGATGTGTGCTGGAATCTACTCTGGCCCTTGTGGTTACACAGCAAGCACTTAGCCACTGAACCATTTACCCACTGCTGAGCTACTGTCTCGATCCCTATCTCCCTGGCTTTATTCACTCAGGCTAGGGACTGGGGAGATGGCTTGTCAGGTAAGATCACTTGATGCTCTACAGAGAACCTGGTTTCAGTTCCCAGCCAGCTCACAACTGTCTGTAGCTCCAGCTCCAGGAGATCCAGCTGCCTCTTCTAGCTTCTGAGGGCATAGCACATACCTGGTCATACAACATTCACGCTGGCTAGACAGTCATATGCGTAAGATAAAACACTTACCTTTGATTCTACACCTAAATGCAGGAATGGCAGACTCTGAAGATTAAACTGATAAATAAATATGGAAATGCTTTTTTTAAGTAGAGTTTGTAAAGTTATAGGAAATTTACCTAAAAATTTTCAATTTTGAAAATGACATGTGTAAGCATGGCAGAATAAGCTGCCTACTTTCTGATGAGGTCAAACAGTGGCTCCTACCACATCCACACTTTCCTACTCTATGTGTTTATACAGAAAAGCATGAATTCTGCTTCTCTAAAAGGAGGTAGTAAAATTTCAAGAGCCAGAGGAATAGGATGTCTGCTGTGAGACTATACATCCTAAAGATGTCAGGGAAGCCACACCCATAAATTCTCAACAATATGGCTGCCTAAACCAGACACGAACAAGGACAACACTAATAGACATGTCAACATGGAAGGAGGCAAAAAAAAAAAAAAAAAAAAAAAATCACAGGGCCCCAACCTTAGACAAAGAACTATGAAGAACTAGCGATGCCAAGAATGGGAGAGAATAGTCTTCCCCAGGAAGAGTCTTCCAATTTGTTACCCAATATCAAGCCCTTAAATCATATACATCAAAGTAACACTACATAGACAGAGCACATTGAATTTACGTATTTAGGAATATGCATATATAATATTTATATATTTAAGAATATATGTATTTTTTATATTTATATATTTAGGGGTGCACACACTTACAATCATATTAACAACAACAACAAGGCAATAACTATGAGGAGAATAAGAGGGGATGCATGGAAGGACCTGAAGGGAAGGAAAGGGAAGAATGATACAGCTATGTTTTAACTAAAAAGATTTTTAAAGTACGAGGTGGGCAGTGGTGGCGCATGCCTTTTATCCCAGCACTTGAGAGGCAGAGCCAGGAGGATCTCTGTGAGTTGGAGGCCAGCCTGGTCCTCAGAGTGAGTTCTAGGACAGCCTCCAACGCTACAGAGAAACCCTGTCCTGAAACCAAACCTCCCTCCCCAAATTGAAAGTATGAATTCTAAATTCATATCCTGTTATATGGTTTATTCCCCTTACTATAACTCCAGCTATAATTTATGAGGAATGAACATATTAAGTTTAATATCTGGATATCAAGAACAGAAGACTCTTTTGTTTCTGTCTCACAGGTGAATAGGGATACACTCTCACTTACACTGAGCAGGGCTTAGTCTTAATCACAACTATATGGTTTATTCCCCTTACTAGATCATAACTCCAGCTATAATTTATGAGGAATGAACATATTAAGTTTAATATCTGGATATCAAGAACAGAAGACTCTTTTGTTTCTGTCTCACAGGTGAATAGGGATACACTCTCACTTACACTGAGCAGGGCTTAGTCTTAATCACAACTGTGATGGGCTTATCCACTAGTGATGAGGCTGTCAGTGCTGAGGACCCAGATTTTCTCACTCACTCAGGTAGGACAGCATCACTTACACACTCAGCCTCTGGGCCAATGCCTCTTCTCACTGGATCTGGAGATTCAGATGGTGCAGGCACTTCTTCCTGGAGCAAATTTAACTGCAATGGTGAACTGCTCCTTGAGCTGATAAATGGATGCTCTTCACTGTGTGTCTCCCAGCTCTCTTCCTCTCTCCTTTGACTGTGGTCTGGAGAAGTCGATTGCAGGTGTGGAGCCATTGCTGGTACTAAGGGTGTCATTTCAGAAGAAGCTGCAGCCCCCAGGAATGGATACGGGGAGCATGACGCTGACCACAGAGGAAAGATGGGGGAGTTGTGCAGGAAGATGGTCATGAATGTATCCAAGTAAGCAGAAGGGAAAGCTGGGGCAGACTGAGGGCCAGCGGACAGAGGTGGACATTCAGTGGCAGCTCCCCAGCCTGCAGAGTCCCCTACTCCCAGAGAGGACACATCTGGGAGGGGAAATGATGAGAGAAGGTAAGGGGCCTGGCTGGGAGCTACCAGGGCTGCCGGGAAAGCTAGGCTTGGAGCATGAGGAGAGCAGACCACAGAAGGGCTCCAGGGCTGTACATCGGGAAGGAGTCCTCTGACGTGGGAATGGAAGTCAGCATTGGAGTTGCTGGGGTCCAAAGACACTGGCAACTTCTTCCTTTTGTGCCTCTGTCTCTCACTTCCAGCACATCTGGTCTGCTTAGAAGGAGAGCCTGGTGAAACAATGAAGAAGGCATGTTATAGAAAAGTAACAACCAAGAGAAAGGCATTATGGGTGATTTTAAATACTTTCTAAGGAATCAAATATTTGCCAATAGTAACTTTTAAAAATACCAAAAAGTTGTTCTAACTCAACAAAATTTCGAGGTAAAAGTGCACCACGGTAAATCAATCCCAGCACCTTCACAGGTCCCCTATAAAAACTCCTCTCGGATCCAGACTCTAATAAGGTCCCAGGTAAACTGTGCAATAATAAATGACTGGAGCATCTCAGAGTCTTCCGGTACCAACCCCCACTGTTCACCCTTCTCCCTGGTACAGCTGGCCCTGCACAGCCACAGGTACCAGCCACAGGTAGCTCCAGCCAACTACTGACTGAAAATATACATAAAGAAATGGTCACTACAGACTTCCCATTATAATAATGTACACTGTACTGAGTGTTAAATAAAAGACAAGTTAAAGGACATGGAAGGCACGACTAGGTCATATACAAATATGCCTTTCGATACGAAGGCCTTTGGGTGTCAGTGTGTCAGGTAGTTCTTCCTGGAGGCAATCTCCCATTGACAAAGAAGGACAGTTCAACCTGCATATGACTTATAATAGTTCAAGGATGAGAGAAGGATGTGTTCTAAAACATAAGCACCTTGAACAGAGGAGTACTTAGCACGGTTTCTGCTCTCTCGCTGAAGATAGCAACTGTAGGGTGAGGTCAGGGTCCTTTCCCGGAATCTGTCAATGTAGTTCTGCTCTTCCTTCTGCGTGTGTGCGGAGAGGACAGCTGCTGTGAGACCCACATGCTTAAATTCTCCCGCAGTCAGGGGAGATGGCTGTGTTCTCGGGGTCCAGGGCTTATACACTAAGGCAGCACCTTCTGCTGAGATCACAGAAAAAAAAGATTCAAATAAAAAACAATCAATTTTTTATTTTGGAACTGTCTTTAAATAAATTTATACAAATATAATTGTTGGAATATAAAAACTTCATCAATACAGTACAAAAGTGCTTATCTTTCTTTACACTTTTCATGTATATGTACTTTATGTTATAATAAAAGACATTTATTTAGATCTTGCTATTATAAACATTTCCATGTTCTTACATTTTCAGATTTTTGTTCAAAATTATTAATTTAGAAACAGAGCTTAGAACTTACTATGTGACCAACCTGTCCTGAATTCGTGACCCTCCTGTGCCAGTTTCCTGAGCACTGGGATTACAAGTGCGTGCCATCACATTTAGCGTTTGAATTTTTTTCTACTTGTTTCTTTGAGACAAAGTCTCTCTATGTAGCTCTGGCTATCCTCAAACTTGCTACACAGACCAGGCTGTCCTTGAACTCTGCCTCCAGATGGGCTGGGATGAAAGGCATGTGCCACCATCCTTGGCTCAATTGGTTATTTAAATAGGTAACATTTTCACGAGATTCAAACACTAGGTTTTAAAAATCGATTTAGTAAATTCTTCCTGTCCCTTTCACTATCTACCCAGTTCTTCTTTATCCTCCTATAGAAAACCATCCTTTCCCTCTGTCTTTGTGCATGGATAATTAATCATGAATACAGAGGCCATCTGCCCACTGACTCTTTTCTCCAAAAAACACCAGCCTACAATTCACCTCCACTTCCTACTCCTTGGGGAATTTAACAGTTCACAGCCTTCTCATACTCTTTACATGAAGCAGAGCATCCACTTCATTCACACATACACCTGCATGCACCTGTACACAGGATTCTTCACATGTACATCTGCATGCACCTGCACAGATTCTTCACACATACACCTGCATGCTCCTGTACACGGATTCATCACACGTACACCTGCATGCACCTGTACACAGATTCATCACATGTACACCTGCATGCACCTGCACACAGATTCTTCACATGTACACCTGCATGCATCTGTACACAGATTCATCACACATGTACACCTGCATGCACCTATACATGATTCTTCACACATAAACCTGCATGCCCCAAATGTTCTCAGGAATACCAAACACTGTGACTCATTTAACTGTAACTAGCATCCAATAAAAAAACCAACAATCACACAGGTGTGGTGGTACACACTGTTAGTCCCAGCACTCAGGAGGCAGAGGCAGGAGGATCTCTGTGCTTGAGGATAGCCTGGTCTACAGAGTGAGTTCCAGGACAGCCAGGACTACATAGAAAAACCCTGTCACAAACTCCACTCCTCCCAAAGATTATTTCTCTATTATTAGCATTTAGAGTTGTCTGTTTTGCTGCTGTCTATAAATTTTTAGTGTGTTGTACTCTCATGAGTATTTATTTGAAAATATTTTTAACTTTTTCTTTCACCCATGGATAATTTAGAAATGTGTTGTTTACTTTTTAAATTCTTGGGCTTTAAACAGTATTGATTTTTAATGTAATTCACCCTAGCCAGAAAACACATTTTTATATAACATCAGTCCTACATCTGAGACTCACAACATATTTTATATGTTAGCATGCCTCCCAAGTGTGCTGGAAAAGAAACTGCACTATAGTAAGCTGTACAGTGTCTGCTAAAGATTACTCAGGTCAAGATAGCCAACACTGTTACTAAGCCCAGCCACTTCTATGTACATTTAAAAAGATTTTTACTGTTTTTAATCACGCACACCTATATATGCCTTGTGTCTCACACTCCATCTTCGTTAGTCCCTGTGGTACTATAAGGACGACGACAGCTGGAGAACAATTTGATACCCTGCTTACCACTCACAGGCAACTGACTCAGGGGATGTTACTTCTTGATGCCTTAGTTGTCACACATTTCCTGTGATCACACAGGAGCTCACTCCAGGGCAAGGGTGTAAACTGAGGTACTAAGCTTTCCAGACTGGAAAGAGGCACTAAGATTAAAACCCAGTCAAGTTGGCGACATCAGTTGTTACTAACACGGTTTCTCCCAACAGTCCTCTGAGGCAGGGTGTGTGAGAGCTGTGTGAGAGCAAAGCATGCTCCAGTTAGCCCAAGAGGGCTCTGTTGGCACTGAGCTAGGCCTTCAGGACAGGAGCAAATGTGCCCTGCTTGGGCATTGTTGGGGTGTGGGGAGGGGTCTGTTGTTTTTGTGAGGACAGTCTATCACAGTGACGAGGCAAGGCAGCTGGGCTGTTGGGATGAGAGAGTACAGCTCTAAGAATGAAGAACAGAGAGCCACCACAGCAGCGACTCCACCCGTTAGCCGATATGCCACCGAAGATTAGCAAAGGTGAGCTAGAGACCACCCCAAACCCCAACTTAAAGAGATCTGCCACCATTTCACCTATCAAGTCATTATAAAAACCAGAACGCCAAAAGGACAGGACGGAATGAAAAAGACTAAAACGACCAAGATTAGAATAATAATTGAGTTAGTCATCGTAAAGGACACGCTCTACTTGAAGGGCTCTAGCAGGCCCAAGCATGGCAAACAGAGTTCCCACAGGTTTTGCCTTGACCCTTTCTCCCCCTTGCTAAAAACAGATGACATTCCTAAAGCTAGCCACCAAGGTCCATTCCCTTATTTGGCCACTTCCTCTTCCTGAGGCTGACTACCAAGGTCCAGCTATCAGAGTCTTTAAGTCCTGCAATCAAAAGTCCCCCTGACAATCCTAATTAACATACCCAATCAAAATTAACCACCTCTTTCCTTTATAAACAGCCATCTGTCTAGGGCCCATGCCTATCTCCTCTCTATCCAGGGGCAGTCTTCTGTCCCTCCTGGGCAAGGATCACCCCCCCCCCTCTTGGCCCCTTTCCCCTTCTCCCTCATCCTCTAGCTCCCGTGTTTGTCTCTTATGCCCTGCTCTGTGTCTCTCTGGGGCAAATAAACCTCCTTTGTGCTGAGAATTTGGTTTCTGGGTGCATCCTGCTGCCAGTGTACATTCATCATGTGAAAGACACTTTTCTAAAAGACCAGTGAAAGGGGCTGGAGAGTCAGCCCAGAGGTGGTGGCTCACAACCACCTCTAACTCCAATCTCGGGGGATGTGGCACCCTCTTCTGGCTTCTGTGTTCACCAGGCACACACATGGTACACACACATATATAAAGGCAAAACATCCATACACACAAAATACATATCTTGGAGGAAAAAAGTCAGCCATAACATGACCCAGTGAGGTTCACAGGGAACTGCATTAATAATAGTGAACACAGAGAACCTCAGCACCACTGTTCCCAGTATCTCTAAGAGCTCCACATGCACCAACTGACCCTATTAACACACAGCATGCCTAAGAAACACAGCCTGTAATACATCAGCAGTACAGACATGCTGACATTTCTTAAGTAAGTTTGCTTAATAAAAGACAGGGGAAATGGTTTGGACAGAAGTTATAACTAAGCAGACAGTATTAATGTTTCTTCCTCACCCACAGGTGGTACCTGAGTGTGGGGGTGGGGCATGGACAGCAGGGTTGCTGCAGCTGCACTGGCTTACGTCAGGGCCCATGCTCAGTGCAGAAGTGGGCAGGGTCCACGAAGCACCTCCTCCAGCGTCAGCATCTGTGGATGGTCCACTTGTTGGTGTTTCCTGTTTAGGTATGTTCAGGATCCGTTCAGTATCTGGTGATATATGAGAAACTGATGGTGAAAAATCCTAAACAAAAGCTTACAGGAAGTCAGTAACTGACAAATTAAAGCCATTAGCCCAGGATTCTGTAACCCATCATATAAACTGAAACGGAAAAAAAAACCCATATGTTCATTCTCATTAGATTCTGAAAAGACTATTCACGAAATCCAACACCTTTCATGATAAAGGTCTTGGAGAGATCAGGGATAGAAGGAACATACCTAAACAAAGTAAAAGCAGTACATAGCAAGCCAATTGCCAACATCAAATTAAATGAAGAGAAACGCAAAGCAATTCCACTAAAATCAGGAGTGAGACAAGGTTGTTCACATTCTTCATACCCATTTAATATAGTACTTGAATATAGCAATAAAACAGAAGGAGATCAATAAAAAGCTAATCAGCCAATAGTCAGGCAGGAGGTACAGGTGGAACTTCTGGACAGAGAGGGCTCAGGAGAAGAAGAAAGATAGGATGGTCAGGCAGACATGGAGGAAGCAGAGTGGACAAAATGGAGATGAGGTAGCGAGTGTGTGGAAGAATGTACATTAAAAAATAAGGGTTAATTTAAATTATAAGAATTAGTTAGAAACAAACCTAAGCTACAGGCAATCTCTGGGTTGTTTTTTATGTGAGCTGGAGGCCCCCTCAAAAAATCCAACTACACAAATAACCTTTGACTCACAGTCTGTCCTGACTATGGGATATGCTGGGATAAGGGTGGCCTAAAGACAGAGCTAGTGGACAACCAATGATTGGTCTAGCCTAAAACCCATGCCTGGTGAGTAAGCCCACGCTTGACACTGCCTGGAGCATAGGACCCACAGGCTGGATGACCCAGGGATTGAGGATAGAACCAAACACTACTGGAGAAAAAAAAAATGCCAACATAATGACACTTAACGATATTCTGCTACATTCATAGATAGATGCCTAGCCCAATAGTCATCAGAGAGGTTCATCTAGCAACTAATATAAGCAGATGCAGACCCACAGTTAAACATTAGGTGGAGCTTGAGAAACCCTACAGAAGAGAGGTAGGAAGGATTGTAGGAGCCAAAGGGGTCAAGGAGATCACAAAAACAAAAATCAAACAAACAAACAAATCCACAGAATCAGCTAATGTAGGCTCATAGTGGCTCTGAGAGACTTAACTGACAACCAGAGCGCATACATAGGACTGACCTAGGCTCTCAGTATATTTAACAGTCCTCTTGTGGGACTCCTAACAGTAAGAACAGGGGCTGTCTCTGACTCTTTCATAGGACTTTGAGACCCTGCTCTTTATACTGAGTCGCCTTGCCCAGCCTTAACACATGGGGAGGTGCTTAGTCTTCCTGCAACTTGATGTGCCGTGTTTGGCTGATAGGCATGGGAGGCCTGCCCTTTCCTGGAGAGAAATGGAGGACAAGTGGATTGGGGTGGGGATAGAGCGGGTATGAGGGGAGAGAATGGAAGGAGAGGAGGGAGGGAAACTTTACTTGGGATGTAAAATAAATAAATAGACAGACAGACAGACAGACAAAAAGCAATGAAGTTATCTACTCTGAGGACACTCAGCTACCTTGCAGTGCTGTGGCGCAGTCTGCCTCATGGTTCTGCTTGGCTTCTTCTGAAGATGAAGACGTGTTTGTGCAGGATATGCACTTTCTTTTCAAGGCTGGAAGACTGTAGCTTGTCAGGTACCTACAACAGAATTGGACTTTGTATTGCTTTGTCTTGGCTCCATCAAGCTATTCCCACTTCCATTCTTTGCTTATGCCACTGAGGCCTCAGAGACTTCTTCCTTCCTGGACGAAGTCAACCCTGCCCATCCCAGCCTGGGTTAGTGAGTTACAATCTCTCTTTCACTGTGTTCCTTAACTGGTCAATTCTGGCCAGCACAGGTGTTCACTATGCCACAGCTCTGCCACCAAGGTGCGGCAGCGTCTTTTCTGTGCCCTCCATAAAGTTCAATCAATTGTGAACTGTACAAAATGCATTCCACAGCAAACAAAGGACTCCGCACTGTTGCCCCCAGCAGCTGTACGAGCTCCACAGGCACCAACTGATCCTATCACTTATAGTAGGAAACCAATACAAACATCTCTGAAATGCTAGAGGACGGGCCAGGCTCACGGCATTTCTTACCTGATGACACTGTCGATACAGTTCATCTGCTGGTAGGATGAGCTGTGCTGCTCTCGACTCAAATCATCACAAGAGCCAGTACACACGCTTTTATTTTTCAATGTCTCAGAGGGAGAAAAGTCCTTCTGTTCATCTGAAAGAGAATGAAAGCATATACAGTTAAAATACTTAGCATGTATTAAGACAATAGTAAGCTCATAACAGTTATAAAATGTCATGCAGCTATTAACCATGAGCTCAGATCTAAACAAAATGACACAGAAGTATCAGTACAGTGAATAAAACAAGGCACAAAAGCAGGCTACACAGCATGAATGAAACATGCCACTATCAGATGGGGAATGCCCCGTGTCAAGCTAACGAAGACACCTAAATGTTGTGTGTCACCCCACCTTGTACACCATCTGTCTACCGAGCACCTGTGGAACTGGTCAGTGCACACAGAGACCAGAATAACTGGATATCACACATATCTCCTGTGTTACAAGGGGAAGCAAATAGCCCTGCCTGTGCAGAGCCGCGATGGTACTGACCCATTCTTATTTGTGGTGTCCCACATCCTAGCTACAATCACACAAAGCACTTGAAATAGATCACTACAACCAGGGAACAAAAAATAATATTGCACTGCTTTGAATTCGCACTTAAAATTTTCCAATGTGACTAGTGGCACAGGTGTGAAGAGAGAAAAGCCGTGAACCTCCTGAAGAGAAAAGCCAGACAGTCCTACGGAGTCAGAAAAAGACACGCAGAGGAAACCCTGCCATTGGAAGCAAGAAGGGCAGTGAGGTCAGGAAGGAGACTAATTATGTCACGCTGTTGACAGGTATGTGGTGTTTGCTACTGCTCTTCTTAGTGATGGGCATTTTTAGCTGACCTGGACAGGCCTATCTTAACAGTTTTATGAAAATGTTACTTCTTGGTCAGCCTCATTTCAACTCTATACAGAATAGAATATGGAACATTTCCACACCCTAACCTGTAGCTCCCACTGGCACTCACGAAGAGACATGACAGAACCATGAGACACACAGGGGAGGAATGCTTTACTGGGATGAAGACTTGGCTCTAGATTTTCTGGGTTATCACTAACCCTAACCTTCATTTCAGATCTCAATGAATCTGGTGGTCACATCTTAACTCTACCGTTGCTTGGTCCCTTGGTCTTTGCTCACTCTTCCAGTCATTTTGCAGTATAGACTCATGGTTTATTTAGTTTGGTGAGTTATAAAGTAACACTGTTATGATGAATTTAGTCACTCAAATTGTCCCAGTGTTGGATACTTGTAGATCTTCCAAGCTCTGTCCTGTGCCCTTCTGATCCCTATTTGTCTCTTGAACATCTTTACTCTCTGGCCCTGGCTCCTTTTCTTGGAAAAAATATACCCAGAAACCAAGATATTAGTGTTAGGTGTGTGTCTATGCTTGTAAGTTCTCTAAATCGTCAGAATTGATATGCAAGTCTATATATTAACCAGTATCTGTCTGTCCACCCATCCAGCTGAACACTTGAGTTCTTACACCTGCTTTACCATCAATCCAGGACAATTTACTCTAGAATTCCTCCTTTGATTACTTGAAACTGCTACAATACTGAGAAATCTTGTTATCATTATCCACAATGTTTGTATACGCTTGTTCAAACTTAGTATACATACAAAGTAACTTCAGAATTCTTCTGAGGATAAACATACCAACCTGGATACAGTGTTTATGCACATACGTATTCTATAATTGACATCTAGCTAAAATAGATTTTTCTTCTTCTCTAAAACTACTTAACCTACCTCCTTGAGTATGCTTATGCCATCCATACTTGGCAGATTTATCCACACACAGCCTTGGTTCTCTCTACATTCTGGAGTGGGATTAATGTTTATGGATCTTGGCACATGCGCAGCTACCCCTCGTAGTCAGCTGCCCTCCCCTTTCAATCTCAGAAAGTGCCCCGTCACTGGTGGCTGGTTTTGCTTCCTGTGGTTTCACTGTATTAAGTTTTTAGTTTTTTGGAGAACAGGATTGAGCCCAGAGCTTTGCATATCCTAGGCAAGGATCTACCACAACTCCATGGTTTCAGTTACCCATAGTCACTTGTAAGAAAGAAAGAAAGGAAAAAAAAAAAAAAAAAAAGGAAAGAAAAAAGCAAACAGATAAACAGATCAAGTGGAAAGATGCAGATGTTTACTATTCCTGTTTTAAACTGTGCACTATTCTAAATAGTATGATGTAATCTCACTGCTCTGTTCCATCCCACATGGGATATAAGTCATCTCTGTCCAGTGAATGCACTGTCTCACCCACCCAACACCATCCTGAGCTGAGTGATTCAGCACCACCAGAAACAACTGATTCTTCCTGAGTTCTGTAAGGTCAATAGATTAACTATGTCACAGTGCCTGTTCATTCACCATCCTTCATCTAATTTATATGGGGTTCAGGGTTCACCTCCAATTATTACATCATTTCAAAGGCAAAGGCTGACAACAGTGAATTTCCCAAAACTTCCCCACCATCTCAAAATATTTTGCCATGTTTTAATTGTATGTCACAAATGCAGAATACTATTATTAGTTATTTTTCAAATCAATTAAAAATAAAATATTTTTTTTTTATTCCTCATCCAGTATTTTTCACTCCTTAGTGTAGATAGGTTTTTATCATATTTCTTCTATGGTAAGAAGTTCCCAGGGCTGGAGAGATGATTCCATGGTTCTGAATTAAATTCCCAGCACTCCTGTTGGGTGGCTACAATTACTGCCATTCCAACTCCAGAGGATCCAACATCTCTAACTTCCATTGTTTAGTATGCATACTCATGTGCATGCATGTGCATATACACACACAAAATAAATCATTAAAAAATAAGAAATTCCTAGATATTTCTGGTAGAAAAGTGTGCTTCTCAAGTCTGTGTTAACAGTATGTTCTTTGATGATGTAGTTTCCTGTCTTCCTCCATAAATTGTTTCTAGAGAAATGCATGGTTTTGTCTTACCTGTGGCGTGAATGGTTTCTGGAGAAATGTGTGGTTCTCTTATCTGTGGTTGTTTCCCCCTACCTTCACTATGGACTCTCTGCTTTTATTTTCAGCAGTTTGAACAGGGTATGTTCAAGTAGGTTTTGTTTTTGTTTTTTTTTTCTTCCCTGAGACAGGGTGACAGGGTTTCTCTGTATTGCTTTGGAGCCTGTCCTGGAATTGGCTTTGTAGACCAGGCTGGCCTTGAACTCACAGAGTTCCACCAGCCTCTGCCTCCCAAGTTCTGGGATTAAAGGCATGCACCACCAATGAACACCTGGCTTCAAGTAGGTTTTCTAAAAATAACTTTTTTTAAAAAAACACTCATGTTCTTTGAATCTGCAGACAATCTTGATTGTGTTACATCTTCAAATACTTCCTCTAGGATCCCAGTCAACTCTGTGTTAGGTAGCTTGATGCTGCCCCTGGACTCGATGTGCTTTTCTGCTTCTGTTGCAGTCTGAGGAATCAATAGGGGAGCTTTTGATTCTTCTGTGTGCCGATGTCAATCACTTTTCATGTCTGATTTGCTGAGACCTTTTGTCCCCAAAGTATGTAAACATCACTGTTGGTCTCTTCTGACTTGCATCATATGAACATTTTATATCACAGAGAAGTCAGTGTGAAAACGGGCAGCAGGACACACCCAGGGCCTCCAACATCTCTAACAGTTCCCTGTGGCCCCTTCTTTCAGTCCCTTCTCAGAAGCTGGCTTTGCTCACGGCCCATTTTGCCCATTAGCCTGGCAATGGACCATTCCCAGTTACCTTACCTTGTCAGGTATCTTCATTGATATGTGTTTGAATCTTCCTTTCATGACCACTTTGTCTCTTGGGAGGTCAGTTTCCCCTTCTTGACTTTCCACAAACTTCATTTATCAAAAGCTCAGTGGCCTGTTGTGGTGATACTGTTTATGATCTAACAAATACAATTTGCCTGAAGATCAGAGTGGAAAACTAGCCACACTAGCTAGCCATAGAGGCCAGGCAGTGGTGGCACACACCTTTAATCCCAGTACTTAGGAGACAGAGGCAGATGGATCTCTGTTAGTTCAAGGCTACCCTGGGCTACCCAAGATTGAATCTGTCTAAAAGAGACACAGAGCTCATACAAAGGTGATCCCAGCACTTGCACTAAGGAGGTGGAGACAGGGAGGGGTACAGCTGGGAGGGGAGAGGAATGTGAGGTGGGAGCTCACTACAGTCAGTCTGAGCAGCAGTTAGTCTGAAGCAAGGCATTTTGAGGAGACAATCAGAGGAGGCTCACAGTCTGAGGACAAGAACTCTCTAGTGGCTGGCCGCTCTGCTTCTCTGATCCTTCAGCTTTCACCTGGATAGCTGACTCTGAGCTTTAATTATTAAGAACAATCAGAACTCGTGCTACAGCCTGTCAAGGACAGCAGAGACAGAGCAGCTATATCCTTGGAATGACCTGTGCTAGGTTAATGTAACCTTAGGCCAGGCCTGCTGTCTGTTATCACTATGGTTTTATGAACGACTCACCTCCCAAATTCCTCCAGCCAGACTTGTGCTTCAAGTGGTGGCTGTTGGGAGAGTTTGTTGTGAACATCTGTTCTCCTTTCATTTATGGTCATCCCTTTGCATTTATCTCAGTGATGATTTGTCTTTTTTCAAGTTCCTTGATTCAGTGAGCCACGCACTTCCTGAGCTGGCCAGTGTCTGAGCCATGCACTTCCTGAATCAGTTAGCCACTGTCTGAGCTGTGCACTTCCTGAGTCAGTTAGCCACTGTCTGAGCTGTGCACTTCCTAAGCTGGCCAGTGTCTGAGCCATGCACTTCCTGAATCAGTTAGCCACTGTCTGAGCTGTGCACTTCCTGAGTCAGTTAGCCACTGTCTGAGCTGTGCACTTCCTGAGTCAGTTAGCCAGTGTCTGAGCCATGCACTTCCTGAGCTGGCCAGTGCCTAAGTCTGTTGTGCTCTTTTTAAAGTGCCTCTGCCTTTTATGCCTCTGCTGTTGGAATCAGCAACTACAACTCCCTGGCTATCAACAGTGCTTAGGCTGCAAGAGCTTAAGGCTGCCTGAGGGAATACTGTTCCTTCAGGCACCAACTCTTTCACAGCTGCAAGGAAACTTATCTAAATCTGTCCCTCTAAAGAACTCAAGATGCAAGGGTGAGGTGGGATTCTGTTCCTCAGAGAGGCTGAGTAGCAAGTAGCTCACACCCTGTCCTCAAGTGCCCTCCAGAATCTTCATGCTGCTCCCTGCCCCTCCTTAAAAACCCTCCTCCACCTGGCTCCTCACTACCACTTCCTGTCAGCTAGTTGCTGACCCAGCCTCCTGACCATAGATGAATTTTATTTAATCAAACACATCTTTGCATCATTAAACAAATGTTCCTGAGCACAAACCCAAGTAACACACCTTAAAATAACATTCTACGACAAGAGTCTTTCCTTGGATTATAGAACTACAATACTCAACTGGGTAAGAAAGGTTTGCTCTTTTTCACTATAAGGGTGGGTCAATGTTCTTTGTTTAGTCCTGAGCAGAAACCAGAAGCACTCACATATCCCTTTGTGAATGGGGTTAGTGACCTTATTAAACAGCTAGAGGTTGGTGTGGTGGCATGCATTTGGCCCTAGCATTGGTGGCTGTTACAGAAGGGTCATTTTACCTCAGGAGTTTGAGATATACCTGGAGTGACAAAGCAAGGCCCCACCTCAAAACCAAGGGCGACAATGGAGGGAACTAGCTAAAGCCTTTAGTTGTTTTGTTCTGTCACATAGGGAGAACTTTTCCCTTTCCTTTGGAGAATGTGGGGGATTCAAGTTCATTCTTGGAAGTAGTCGGGCTCACAGTGAATACCGTGCCTTCCATACCTTGACCCTACCTTTCCGCACTGTGAGAGATAAGTGCCTTCTTGTTTGAAAATTACAGCATCACGCTGGGCTGTAGTGGCGCATGCTATGTAACTAGGTAGCTTTCCAACATAATATCACTAAATACAATCAACTGGTCCAATACTTTTGAAGTGGGCCTTACCTCATGTTCAAGAAAGGCTCAAAAGGCCAGTGTTTTCCACTCAGTTTAGAGTGTTCTCCATTTATTTGAAATTACAGGGAAAAAAATATTTCAATATAACTTACTATCTGAAATGTATTAAAAATTATTTTCTTTGGGGTTTGGATAGCTCAGAAGGAAAGAAATTAAGAATCTGATGGTGTGGTGGTTTGAAAGAAATGGCCCCAAAGGGAGTGGCACTTAGGAGGTGTGGCCTTGTTGGAGGCAGCTTTGAGGTCCCTTGCTCAAGCTTCCCTCAGTGACTTTCAGTTGACTTCCCGTTGTCTGTAAGGTGTAGTACTCCAAGCTCGAGCACTGAGTCTACCTGCACACCACCACACTCCCCACCATGACAGAGGATAAACCTCTGGAACTGTAAGTGAGCCCCCAAATAAATGTTTTGTTCGTAAGAGCTGCTGTGGTCATGGTGTCTCTTCACAGCCATAGGAAACCTAACTACGAAAGATGGCATTAAAGTAGTTAATTCTTTATTAACGCACACTCATCTACATTTTAAAACTACTTAGCCTCCAAGCGGTATGGTGCAGCTAGTATATTACTGTTGTCAGTATTATTACCATCTTTTGGGCAATTCAGCAAGCTAGAAAGCAGCACAGGGCTCAGGGCTTTTGCTCGGCATGCACACATGCTGCCATCTGTGAAGAGATTCAGGGGCAGCTGAGTGCCAGTCTGTTGACTTACCACCACCCTGCAGCTCCATGCATGTGTCTATCACGGGCTTCACTGATCTGGTCATCGACTCAATGTAGAGCTGTTGACCCACATTCTTAATTTTGTTTACACTGGCATAGACCTGCTGCAAGGTCATCTTAGGGAGAAGAAGGATAAGATAGAGTTTAAAAATGTAGAAGTGTGCGCTAAAAGACACACAATGCACGCTTAACTCCTGGGTCTCTGAGACACCAATAAAAGCAATCTTCACTTTAATTCCACTTCTCACTGAGCACTGTGCAATGATGCCAATCAAACTGTACATCCACCTATCCATGGTCAAACCGCACATCCACCTATCCATGGTACACTGCTTTCAGAAAAGAATGATTCTTTTCCTCCAAGAGACAGGCCCTTACCACGTAGCCCCACTGGCCTCAGAACTCTTGCTTTCACTCCGACTACTGAAAATATAAGCACTGCCACTAAGCCTACCTCAGATTTTCTTTTTACAGACATTTGTCTATATGCATTCAAGTCACTTTCTAAAGTAAACTGAAATTTGTGAAATGACAATCCTAAGATGTCACCAGGTGAGGACCAACACTGACACACAAACAGCATCCACAGGAAGACACATGAGCCACATACCTGCTCCTTCTGTGCCTCTTCAACACAGTGTCCACTGGCCTCACTGGAAGAGGCGATGCTGATGTGCTGCTCCTGTGAGCCGCTGCTGCCCAGGCTCCCGTAACCACTGGAAGCACTGGCATGAACCGGCTAGGAGGAAGGGCCCGTTTAGTTACTGCTGCATAAGTGGTACTGACATTATTCACCCCAGAGCTTCTGGTCTACAATCACCACAAAGCTAAGAGCTCCTTAAATGCTACAGTAGGTATGGGGAGGGTGAAGCTGTTAGCCTGGATGCTGTTGTGAGACATGCCTCAGCACTTTCCTATTCTCAGGGCAGTGCCTAATTTTCTAGTCTAGGTGGGGATTACAGCAACACATCCTTTTAGAAGCTGTAAGATAACTGATTTTTGTAAATCATAAATAATGTAATAAACTAAAAATTTAGTTCTTTAAATTTAGAATAGACAGAACACATGAAATAAAAACATAGAATTTTTTTTTATAAAAATTCAAACATTAAATGAATCCTAGAGATTTTTATAAAAGACATTTCTGGGGACTGGAGAGGTGGCTCATTGGATAAGAGCACTGACTGTTCTTCCAGAGGACCCAGGTTTAATTCCCAGCACACCCAGCAGTTCACAACTGTCCGTGACTCTAGTTCCAGGGGATCTGACACCTTCACACCAATGCACATGAAGTTAAATTATTTTTAAAGAAGACATTTCTGAAAACCCCTGGGCTCACATTCTATGTGTGTGACATACTTGACTTTATTTACTGACAGAACCCATCTTTGGTTGTTCTTTCAACAGGTTAATTTCCCTCTTCTTCCCTTATAATGACGAGAAACTGAGACCAACTGCACATCTCTACTACTTTTAAAAACTGAGTTTAAAAAAAAAAAAACAAAACAAAACAAAACACTGAAGCCCAAGCTCAGGAGCTGAGCACCCTGCTGGTGTATGAAGTGTGAAAAGAAATCTTTCATGAAGAAAACCAGAAAACAAGGTCTGCCCTATCAGTCTGCTGTCTCTCTCACACAGAATAAGGAACAAGATGGACAGAACTTAATCCATAGATGCAGACAAGAAAGCAAACATTTCTAAGATGTGGAGGTAAAGGTTCCTCTCCCCTCAGTGTGTTCTTGTGGTCTGATTTCACTAATACCGAACTAACCATAAAACACAATTTGGGGGATGATGTGCTTTTAAAGCCTCTCACTTTACCTGTAAGAGAAGTTTGTGAATTTGTTCTTGTAATTCTGTTATATCTTTGTCGTTATTAGTTGCCTTTTTTATTCCAGTGGCAAAAACATCCTCATTTAATGGACTCCTACAAAATGCCAAGAGAAACAATGAGCCAAGCAACCAAATTCATCTAAAATGAAGACTAAAATGCTTGCAACAGACCATTTAAAGAATAAGCTGTGTTTTGATGAAACAACTCTTTAACTCTAGATAAACAAAATATGGAGTTAAAATTCCCAAAGAAACAAACTAGATATAACAGTCTCTAACCCACATGGTCCTTGGTACAGAATACAGGACCTTGTACATGCTAGGAAAACACTCCACTACTAAACTACCTCCCCAGCCCCTGTTTTTTTTTTTTTTTTTTTTTTTTTTTTTTTTTTCTGAGTGAAAGTCTTTCTCCAATTAGCCCAGGCTAACCTGGGACTTTTGATCACCCTATCTCTATCTCCTGGGAACTAGAATTACAGGCAAACATCTGACACAATTTAAGTTTCTCTACAGCACTGATCTTTATATAACAGGTCCTGGATGTGCATGTGTATGTGTATAAATTTAGTAAATGTATGTGTATAATAAAACCAGTGACAAGCTACTTCTTTTGCTCCTAAGAGATTCAGTAAGGACTGGTTTTAAAATCTGACTGAGTGAACCTCTGTAGGAATGTTGATGCTGAAGTTGCCAAGCAGTAAATGCTTAAAACTGGGCTGGACATGACTCAGGGGTTAAGAGTACCTGTTGCTCTTCCAGAGTACCTGAATTTGATCCCTACCACCCATGTGAGGAGACTCATAACCATATATATCTCCACCTCCTAGGAGATGTGGTGCCTCTGGATACTTGCACATACCCAATGTGCAGGCATCCAATCTATACATAGATAAAAAATAGTAAAAATAAAACTAAAAACACTTAGTTGAGTGTGGTAACCCATGCCTTTAATTCCAGCACTTGGGAGGCAGAGGCAAGAGGATCTCTCTGAGTTTGAAGCTAGCTGGTCTACAGATCGAAGTTTCAGGACAAGCAGAGCTATATGGTGAGACCTTGGCTTAAAAACCCAAAAATAAATATGTGAAATTTAAAGCTGCTACTCACTTCTGCTACCTGCTAAAGTTGACTCTACAGCCTTACCCTGGTGGTGAAAATGAGGCTGTCACAATATTACCTCCCTATCTCATTGCAAACTTGAGAGATTAGAAATCTACCACTGAGATGGTTCTGTGGTTAAAATCATTTGCTGTACAAGCCTGATGCCTGGAGTTTGATCTCAGGAATCCACAATGAAAGGTGATGTTCTCTGAGCTCCACAAGTGTGTGTCATGTTACACATGTGGTTGTTCCCCCATTTTACATGATTTAAAGTAAAAAACAAAATAAAAGTTACTACCTGAACATAGTGAACGCCAACAAAGATACTAAAGACACTAACATTTATTAGGATCTTCTCCTAAAAACTGTACTAGTTTTTAAGAATATATACATAACATCTTCAAAAGCCATAAAGCAGTGGTTCTTAATATGAGGGTTATGACCCCTTTGGCAAATTCCTGTCTCCAAAAATATTTACATTATGATTCGTAACAGTGGCAAAATTACACTTATGAAGTAGCAACAAAATACTGGGTTCACCACAGCAAGAGGAAATGTATTAAAGGGTCCCAGCATTAGCAAGGTTGAGAACCACTGCTAAAGAGTGACAGTCATGTTCCAATTGCTTTACAAATATCCCTTCATTGGGATCTCAATCTTCTCCAGGTCCCCGAGTTATTAAGGGGAGAGAAGAGATAGAGGAAGGGACCAGTCTAGGTACCAGGGGTCACACACTCATCATGGCATGACACTGTATCTTGGGACCTTGGTAGAGTGGGCACCAAATGAGGAATATTAAATCAGATATATCACCTCATCTTATGATGTAGGCATTATTCCTGACATTTAGTGTGAGGCTGGGTGATGCTTGCCCAGCTCAGGCTGGATGGAAGAACCAACCAAGAAACAGCAAAGCCAGAGGTTGAAGAGATGGCTCCATGGTTAAGAACACTTTCTGCTCTTGAAGAGGACCTGGGTTTGGTTCCCAGCACTCATATAGCTGCTTACAATGGTTTTTAAACTCCAATTCCAGGAGACCCTGAGTCCTTTTCTTGCCTCCATAGGCCCCAGGTATGTATTTAGTACATTTACATACATGCAAGCAAAATATTTGTACATAAAACATGAAGTCTTTAACATTTTTTAATTAGTTTTGTATGTGTATGGTGTCTGGATGTATGTCTATGCACCATGTGCACGCCTGGCACCTGCACAGGCCAGGAGAGGACACTGGATCCCCTGGACCTGGAGTTACAGATCTATAGTGCAGCTACAGTGACCTAAGAAGCTGAAACACCACCCCAAGACTGCAAACATCAGAAAAACCAGAATGCTGGTAGTGCCATGAAAGGAACAGCAAAACCCGAATTCAGGACTTTATACATAACCATGTCCATCTTCCCATGACAGGTGACGGCTGCCCCACTCACCTCTATACCCCACAGCAGCAACTGATGAACTTACGTTCGAACTTTATGCCGACCAATGATGAAGGAAACCTTCCGGCTCCAGGGGTTCACAAAGCTGGACCAGCTGGAATCCAGAATGATGTAATCTCCATTCTGAGTGCAGAATCTGATAGGTGAGTGTTCAAATGGAGGATGGCCCACATACTTTAAAACTATGTAAAGTAACAAAGATTAAAACCAGACTTTACACAGATGAGAGTACAAGTGTCCTGCTTCAGTTATCTATTTGGGACTTTTTAGCACTTTAATGTAGGAAACGATTACTTTAGCAGTTTCAAACATTTCTTATTTGGGTAAAGAAAAAACTCTATTGAGAAATGGACTGAAAAATTACAACCAATCAGTAGCAAATAACAACTTCCATAAAGGAGCAGGCCCCACCTTTTTGGTGTATGGCAACCATCAGAGGCCGATCTTCTGGGTGCAAATATGTTAAGATCGATGTTCCAATCAGATCCTGAGGTAGGTAACCCAGCAAAGGTACTGCCCTGGGGCACAGGCACACAGCACAGGAAGCACGTTATACTGAGCAAGTAATTAAGAAGTTTTTTATACACTTAAAAATACCCACTTGGGCTGGCAATGTGACTCAGTGGGATACTATGTGCTGAGACTATGTAAGAATTCTATCCCCCGCTCTGCAAAATAAAACATCACCACTAAACCCTAGGTTCTCTATTTAATTCTAAACAGGACGAACATTTACAAAAAGGTGTCCACTAATGCATCCATGGAAGCAAAAACCTGAGTGGCTGTGCTGTGGGAACAGACACGGCTATCCATGTCAGCAGTCATCTGATACCTTCTCATTCCCTAACAACAGGCTTGCAGGCTCACGTGAACTTAGGAATCAGAAACTCTGGAGACTGTGGTGATATTTTGTTTATGATCTGGCCTGAAGACCAAAATGCAAAGCTAGCCACACTAGTTAGCTATAGAGGCCAGGCAGTGGTGGCTCACACTTTTAATCCCAGGACTCACAGACAGGCAGCTGGATCTCTGAGTTGAAGGCCACCCTGGGCTACACAAAACTGATCCAGTTTAAAAGCGCACACAAAGGTGATCCCAGCATGTGGAGTGACACCCCTTTAATCCCAGCACTAAGGAAGTAGAGACAGGAAGGGATATAGCTGGGTGGAGAGAGGAGACGGGAGGTCATGGCTGTCTGAGGAGGCAGTCAGTCTGAGGCCAGGATCGCCTCTTCCGTCTGCACATTGGCAGAGGTAAGACTCACTTTGCTTCTCTGATCTTTCAGCTTTTATCCCATAGCTGATTCTGAGTTTTTATTATTAAGACCAATTAGAATTCATGCCACAGAAGATAACCCAGGGACATGAATTTTCAGCAAGTTCCTCCAGGTCCTGTGCTCTGTTACATTGTCATTTAGAAAGAGCACACGGTAACAGCAGGGTACGGTGATAAAGTGGGCCATGAGCTTAATCAATATTGATATAGTTTGGAGCTTGACTGTCCCCCAAGATTAGTATATTACACTGAAAGCATGGCCCCCAGCCCCTCAGCCCGTGGCACTATTGGGGGATGGTGCAGCCTTCCTTCAGGAGGCAAAGTTCTCAGGCCCTGCATTAACTGTCAACTGGACACAGCTTAGAATCACCCCATGAAGGTTCAATTGAATAACTGCCTTCACCATGCCGTGTTAGTCTGTGGAAGTGACTGTAAGGGACTGCCTCAACTGTCTTAGTGTTAAGAGGGCTCTGTTCCTCCACAGCTCTACACTCAGGTCCCTGCCCTGCCTTCCCCCTGCTACCTGGTCCCAGGAAGTAAGCAGATTAACTTCACTCACCATGTGCTCTCCACCGTGATGCCCTGCCACACCAGAGGTCTCAAACCAATGGAGCCAGCCAAGTAATCATGGCCCGAAACAGCAGCCATTAAACCTTTCTTTCCCCTTACACATTGCTCACTTCCAGTATTTTACTACAGTAACAAAGGCTGACGGACACAATGTAATGTCAAAATCAAATATAGTATCCAAAGGCAACTATCACCCTGAAACTCACAGGAACGTTTTCAGGATAAAGAGGCCTTGGAAGGATGACTTAAGACAAAACCTGCTCCGTAAACATTTTCTGTGCTTCATTTTACACTAACACATGGCTCAGTCCTGTTTCTGATTTCCAAATTTTAAGAATAAGTAAAATTCTGAAATAAATGTGTGGTTGTATATACTAATACAATACAAACATTTACTTTTTTTTTTCTTTTTTTCCCCATGTTAGGGTATCTCTGTGTAACAGCTTTGGCTATCCTTGAACTCACATTGTAGACTCGCAGAAATCTGCCTGACTCGGCCTCCTGAATGCTGGAATTAAAGGTGTGCAACCACTACCACCCAGACAGCATTTGCTTTTGTTTGCTTGTTTGTTTGTTGTTTGAGGCAGGGTTTCTTTGTGTAGTTTTGGAACCTGTCCTGGAACTAGCTCTGTAGACCAGGCTGGCCTCAAACTCACAGACATCCACCTGCCTCTGCCTCCCAAGTGCTGGGACTAAAGGCGTGCACCACCACCACCCGGCTTTAAAAATACAAAACCAGGAGCTAGAAAGATGGCTCAGCAGTTATAAGCACTGACTGATTTTCCCAAGAACCTGAGTTTGATTCTTAGAACCCACCCTGCACACATAAAGGAAATCACTTTTTTCTAAAAAAAAAAAAAAAAATTCTGAAAAACAGCAATAAGCACAAAGTACTATCACTATGTTCAAAAGTAAAGCCATTTTAAAATTGCAGAAAAACAATGTAAATCAAAATGGAGGAAAAAAAATCTTTAAACATTTGCCTTTAAAAAAAAAAACCCATAAGTTCTCTTTTTTCCTCTTCAGACTAATTAAAAATTTAGTATAAATTGATTTGAGCAGCATTTGTCAAATGAAAGTAGCAGGAGAGTGAGTGCTAAAGGATTTGAGTCTTGGTCCTAAATTGAGTACAGTCACAATTTCTTGTTGAACTGGTCCTTGGTTTATGTAACGTACGAGTAATACACCTGAACCACTTATGCGTCAATGTAACGAAATATTGTAAGGTGTCATATAAATCACTTTAAAAAATACAACATACAAGATGTTTACAATAAAATTCAGCCAACAGGTACAAGTACTTGCCACCAAGCCCGCTGGCCTGAGCTGGATCCCAGACTCATACAGTGGTAGGTGAGATCCAACACCAGAAGGGTGGCCTCTGATCACAAATGTATGGACTAGTGCACGTGCATGCCCAGGCACAGACACACACATACACACACACTCACACAAGCACATACAGACAAGCACAGACACACACACACACACACACACACACACACACATCACACATACAGACAAGCACAGACACACACACACAAATGTGATTTGAAAATATATCTGAGAAGACTCGGTTTAAGGTGCTCTGTAACCAGCATGAACCACACGGGCAAACTGACAGTCTGACATAGGATACAGAACAGTACACAAAGTGTAACACACACCTGGAGTACCTTGGTTTGTCTTCCAAAACAAATTCCTTTTAGACTCAAAGAAGTATTTACCTGTCATCTACTTCAAGAAACACACATCCTGGGGTGTGTGTTGTGGTAAAAATCCTTTTATCTACAGGGATTCGAGGAGCTATTAAAAAAGGAGAAAGACTAAATAAGGGTCAAATATGCAATTAATCATCTACTAAACTAGCTACTAAACATACAAGGAATAAAATATCCAAATGAAATGGCAGAAATCTAACTGAAATCTAGGGTCTGACTGTCATGAAGTCAGAGATACAGTAAAATGATAGTTTTCATTATTAATTTGATTTTAATGAGGTCATATATGTGATGACTATATTATAGTTAATTTTAAATACATAAAGTCTATTGTAGTCTAAATAGCTAACTTCTTTATCACGAACACCTAATAGTTAAAGTGGGAGTAAGGGAAGGGCTGAATATTCTTTGATGGCAGTATATAACTAAATGAAAGCATTTGAGATAGCACTATAGCAATCTGTTAGGTAATAAAATTGGTACCATCGAGTGAGGCAAGCTCTGATCTAAAATGTGCACTGGAAAATTGCAGGCAACACTCTGACTTATACCAGTTACTTCAGCATGACCTCAACATCAAGAAATCGTAGTGAATTTGGAAAAGGGCATCCAGTGCTTGGAGCTACTCAGGAATACATACAACACACACACACACATTTCAACTCTCTGTTGCTAGCTACCTCAGTGCATCCCAAGCCACATTTACAGAAGTGCTGGTGTTAGTGTTTAATGTATAAATCAATGGTTTTATTATTTCCTTCTAAAACAATTTTTATTTGCATAGGTGTTTGGCCTGCATGTATGCACAGGTAGTCAGAAGAAGGTGTGAGATTCTCTAGTCTGGAGTTTCAGAGAATTGTTGAGCCCTCACATGGGTGCTGAGAATTGAGCATGGGTCTACTGAAGAGCAGCCTGTGCTCTTAACTGATGAGGTATCGCTTTAGGCCCTTTATCCTTTTTTTTTTTTTTTTAATGTAACTAATTTTTTATCATTGTTCCCCTGAACTAATTTTCCCAACAGTCAGTTTTTATTGTGACTTACAGGGTGGTAATTTGTAGGAAGCACATATCATGTCTCATCATAACCAACTGTGGTTCTAAGTAGTAAATGGAAGCTGCCTATATACAAGTTTAGTTTACTGACTATGCATACTGTAATTCCTGGAAGTTTCAAAACACTTCTAGAATATGTTGTTTCCCCCCTCTACCAAGTGCTGAGAGTCTAACTCACAGCCTTGTAGTTCCACAGCATAACAAGTACTCATCAGTGTGAAATACCTCCAGCTTTTGGTTTGTTGAGGCAGGGATTCACTATGTAGCCCAGGCTAGCTTAGAACTTGTTATGTAGCCCAGGGCATTCACACCTCAGTCCCTCAAGACATGTGCTACCTGGCAAATTCCATCATTCTTGTGACCTCTTCAAGTAAAGATTTTAGTGCTCTTATTTCACACAAGATAGATGTAAAAGGCCACAGAACAGATCACCAACAGAGAAGGGACTAAGTACTACATATCTATCGGAGTGTGAAGTATAGACCACGAGGCCACACTGTGGCCGTGGTAACAGCCCAGGAAGTCAAGGTCAGTAGACAGGGACATCAGTAGACACCAGCTAGAAGTGCTCACAGAGTTTATGGCCCACACTGCACATGAGGCAGTCTTCTGTCCTAGATCTATAGAAACAGCCATGCCCACACTCCTGTTTGGACTTCTTCTGCTCACTGAGCACAGGACATCCTGACTTACCTTCATAACCAGAGTGGATCTTCTCAGCCAGTGCTAGACAGCAAGGCTCTGGTTCTGGCTGGGCAGAGTTCTGAACATGAACCAAATAGGGGAGGATCCGGAATGGATAGCAAAGCTTCTTCTGCGCTCTGTCCCCACCGCCACTGGAGAGATCAAAGGTGATTAGAGCTGGTCCTGCTGCACTCAGCCCAATGCTAAGAGCTGGGGGTGCTCCACAGGGAGTCCCCAAGACACAAAGACCCAAAGCTAAAATGTTTAGACATGTCTGTTTCCCCAAAAGGAAGGTCAGCCTAAAATCTTAGCACCCCTGGGCAATAACACATATTTGCTATTCACTGCATAAGAGGTTTTACAAGAGGACTGCTTACATCTCCGTGAGAGTCATCCCACCCATGACCTGTTCATAACCATACCCCCAAATCCGTTGACTTTTACCCTTCCACTGTGAGGTACACCAAGCACTACAAATAGAAAACGGGGTCCCATTGTGATCACATGGCCAAACCCAACTCTAGAGTACTCCTTTTCCCCTTTTAAAGAACTGAGCCAGTCTCAAAGCTCCAGCTACTTCCTTGGCTACTGCAGGCTTGGCCTTTTACATCTGTCCTGAAAGTACCTGGCTGGGGAAAAGGCATTACAGCCTAGCCGCCAACCTGGCCTCTGGAGTAGAGTCAGACCCCTTCCCAGTTCTCACTGAGGTAGCTCTGAAGATGAGCAAAAGTTTTCTTCTCTACTGCCACTGGGACACACCACCATGCTGTGGACTCTAAGTGCCAAGAGTGAGCCTCTCTCCTAATGTAATCTAGATTAGTGACCCTTAATCCCAAGGCAGTCTCAGGGTCATTTGGATGAGGGCCTTCCCCCAACACACAAGTTCATGCTCATAATTGCTCCACGTCTCTCCTATTGCTATGAAGAGCTTCTGGCTTGTCCATGCCAAAGGTTCTAAATGTCATTTATATACACTTGTCCTACATATTGCCTACTGGCCTGTATCTCCACATACAACTAGGTTCTCATACAGTCTCAATGTAGACCCAATTAAGTCAGGCACACTAAGCACTTTGTTACATGCTCCTGGGCCTTAACTATCTCCACTCAAGATTGTTATTGCCATCCCTTACTCCATTTATATCATGCCCCAGCTCTAACCCATGAGTAAGTCCTGGGTAAAGCATCCAATTTTTTTCTTTCCCCACTGCACTAGTCTTACTGTACAAACCAAGCCTTTCAGTGCTGACCTGGTCCTTCACACAGCAGCCCACACAGTCCTTTCAAATCAAAGTATGGTTTCTTGATAAATGAAGCCTCCTAGTACTGTCGACAAACACTGGCAGTAAGGACTGACCCCACATTCAGACTGGGTCCCAATGGTAATGCCATTTCCCTCCACCTGCAACAGGGGATGCCTGGAGAAATCATGACTCTTAAGTTTGGGGTAAGAAAGTCTATGTTTAGTCTGGGATGGTCTCATGACAGAAAGCAAAGGAGGCTGTCAAAGATCACGTGGATATTGTTGCAAGGGCAGGCAGCTACCCAAACAGTATTCCTACTGGTCAAAGATGGGGTAGCTTCATCATTGTAAGGTGAATGGCAACTTTGCCTTTTAGAAATACATTCTAAAATACTAAGGGAGGGAATGCCTGAGACCTGACATAAGAAAGCAGAGGGGAGGAGCTGGGGAAGGCACAGATAGATGGTACCGGCTGGCCATGGCTTATAGCTGGGCTAGCAGAACGTATTAGTTCATTACACTATTTTCTCTGCCTTTCTTAGGTTAGAAAGTCCTCAGGAAAAGGTTTTGAAAGTAATCTCAACAAAATGCTTCCTTCTGAAAGTGATGTAGTCCCTGGCCTCTCCACCTACCCCATCTTCCCTCCTGTCCAGCCAGGTTCCTCGTTAACCCTTCCACTTCAGGTGCATTCCAACCCAGGCCTTTGCACTTCTGTCCCTCCTCAGCAACTTCTTTAAAGTTGCCTGGCTTACTCCCTCACCTTCTTCAGGTCACTGGCTGCAACTGGGATTCCTAGAGAAGGGTTCCTTCACTGCCAGCTTGGATGTGCTTTGTCACCACCAAAGCACCTGTCAAAAGTAAACTGCCAGTGCAAAGGTAGGGGGCACAGTGTGGGCTCAGAGGTGACAGGAGCACCACCACAATGAAGGGATCGATGCAGTCCCTGTCCAAGTGGGTTAACCTTGGTGACAGCTGGTGGTTAGGTGTCTGGCTCCCTCTGCCTTTTGTCCATGCCAGTTTGCCCATCATGGGGCCCTTGCCCAATCAGAGCATGTTCTCTGGCGCTAAGAGCTACAAGCCCAAACACTTCTCTTTTACAAACTAGCCAGTCTTAGAGCTCGTTACAACAGAAAACAGACAAAATGACGGAATAAAACAGCAATTTCTCCACTGTCCAGAACTAGCTCTCTTGTCCACATATTTGATGCTAATGGGCACATTCATATATATTTAGTTTCCTGCTTACAGAACTTAAGTGCATGGAAACAAAACTTTTGCTTTGAATAGTCTGATTCAGATAGGACCTAAAGGTATTTAGTATAATAAACCTGTGTGTCATTTACGTTGGGAGCACAGCCCGGAGATCCTAGAGGAACCAGGAATGCTAAGTATACAGGATTGTCTTTCCAATGGGAAGAATGACAATACCAGTTCTTCCCTCCAGAAAGCTGAGAACTGGACGTGATTAACAGCCTGGTGATCTGTGTCACCTGTGGGCCAGGCTGTATCAAGCTCCTACAACCAGGACCAGAGGTGGCTAGTATCTAAATGACCCTTACAGCCAGAGGCTCCCCCAAGTTCCCACAACCAGGACCAGAGGTGGCTAATAGCACAAATAAACTCCATGCTATCTGAATGACCTGACACCAGGCTAGACCCTTAGGCCCTTAAGCTAGTACAGACAGCCTGTCTCTAGAACCCACTGTGGAGGGTGTGGCATTCCTGAGTTGAGTTTCAATGTAATTATGTTTCTTTGTGCACTGCAGATTGTACTACAGCAGGAAACTTTTTTCTAATTGTACTGGGCTTAAATACATTGAGAACAAATCTACTATTAGACTCCATGAAGTCTGATCCAGACTGACAAGACAAATCCCAATTGACACCTGCAGGGACACCCCCCCCCACATTTACTGCAATCCAGGCATGTTCTTGATAAACACACTTGCAAATGCCTCAGTAAACCACACAGCCCTCCCTCCTGTGGACTTTTGTTGTGTTAGCTTTCCTGCCTATGCCTACAGACACATTAGCTCAAATTCCCCCCCCCCCCATTTTACAGCACATCTGGTTATTTCCATTATACACATTTTCCCTTCTATAAACATCTGGAGTAGTTACTAACTTCAATACTAATGTTTTTCCTTGCTGGGCATGGTGGTACACACCTTTAATTCCAGGATTCAGGAGACAGTGACAGGTAGAATGCCGTTATGTTTGAGGCCAGCCTGGTCAAGTGAGTTCCAGGACGGTCAAGGCTACACAGAGAAACCCTGTCTCAAACAAACATTTATTTTTCCTATGAGACCAACGTTATAGTAGTTTGTTCAGAGGGTGACAACTACCTACAAGAAGTCACTCCTGTTAAAGAATAGTCAATTTTCTTCTCGATTACTTTCTTTTTAAGCCCTGCTATTAAAAATTCTAAAAGCTGAGAGGTAGATGTGGGAAATTTTAAAAATTAATTTTAAACGTGACTGAAAAACAAAAAGCAAGCAAAATGGCCTCAAAACATACTTGTTTTATTGTCCACTTCAAACCAGGGGCTCTGCTGCCACACGGGGCTAGCAATGATCTTTCAGTCTTTATTTTTCTTCTCATCCCACAGCAAGAATCTAGTGTTTTTGTTTTATTTTGTTTGTTTCTCTCGTTTTGTTGTATCTGTAACAGAATCTAGCTGAACACAAAAGACCTGCCGTAAGGGTTGGGTGGAAATTAGAGAGCCACATTTTGAGCCTTCGTGTCCTTTACTTACCAGATTCTGCAGAAAAAGGCTTTCACTGGTGCGTATTCACACTGTGAAGCTAGAAGGAAAGAAACACGGTCACTGTGTCCCTCTCAGGGCAGCTCCCCTGTGAGGCAATCCTGCCCCACCGCGCTAACACGCAGGCATTTCTGAAAGCTGCACTCTCCTCTCTTCCGTGTGAGCGCTGAGCTTTCCTTTGTCCAACCCCTCGGCCTTTCCCGCACACTCCAGCTAAGCACACTCGATTTCTATCGTCACCATGATGACCTCATGACAGTTACGCTGGGACTAGCAGTCTGGTCCACTGTAATAGTTTATTTTCAGACTTCAGTTCTCTGAAGTATAAATGTGATTGTTTTCCTTCGCTTCAGTTCCATCCTTGGGGAACCTACAAGCTGTGTTCTATGTTATATGCATGATCCTCTCTTGACTCTCATGTACTGCTAAAGTCATCTCTAGAGGACTAGACGAATTTACAGCAATGGTTGTCATCAGCTTAACGTGGTAAGGGAAGGATTGTAGGAAGAACCAGAAACTGCCTTTTGCTCACACCATTTACACACTACACAGGGCTTCTATGTTCACAAGCCACTGCAGAGCCATGAGCCAGACTCGATTCCAGTGCACATAAGGTGCTTAACTAGCTGAACAAGAGTCCTTACTTTTGCAAATGAGCTCTTAACAACGAGTCTACACAAACAACGTAAGTGGAGGTGTGTTCTAAAACATGACCAAACGGATGGGGGGAGTGGGGTACACTGCATTCCGTGTCCACGTATGTCCTCTAAGCTCAAAGGAGAAGACTGAAGCAGAGTGGGCACAGCCTGAGCCTGAGAGATTTACAGCAGGCAGAAGTGCACTATGTGGAGTAAACTAGACGCACATCAGGTCTGCCAGGCAGAATTAATGATTTCAGGACGCATTAAAGTGACAAGATTTAAAAGGCTGAAGAGATGGTACAAGCACTGTTTGAAGGAAAAAAAAAAAGCAAAAAACAAAAATAAAACAAAATGGAAAAAGCTGGCAACATGTCTGGCATCCCAACATCTAAAACGGTTCTGGCCAAATCTAGAACAGATCACTGGCCCAAGTGTTGAATGTTCTTATAATGGGTGACTAATTGAAGGCGAAAGACAAACAACTGAAGGTTGAAATGTATATTTAAGAAAGGAAGATGAACAATACCAGTATTTTTAAGATAGGAAAACAAAGATAATGGAGTTAAAGGTAAGAGAGTACTTGACTTAAAAAATCAGAAGAGTAGAGGCTGAAAGATCAGAAAGTTGTAGCAGTGTGTTTCACTAGAATGTAAACATATTTCGTACAATTAATCCCTGAATTTAGAAATGATTAGACATGGCAAATCTTGTGCTATACTTTTTTAGGGTTCCTCACTACGTAGTCCACAATGGTCTTCAAAGCCATACCCTGCCTCAGCCTCCAGAATGCTGGGGTTAACCATCATGCTCTCCTGTTTTCCAAATAAAAAGAATGTTTTTAAAAACGAGAGAAAAGGAGCACTGGGGGATGGCTCAGTGGTTAAGACACTTGCTGATCTTCTAGAGGACCCAGATTCCGTTTCCTCCACCCACATGACGACAGTTAACAACTGTCTGTAACTCTAATGTAACCTAATGCCCTTGTATGGCTTCCATGGGCAATGAAATCCATGTGGTGCACAGACATACAAGCAGGCAAAACACCTATACACAATAAAATTAAAAAAAAAATCTTTTGATACACAATTAGATGAAAGTGATGGTTCTTCAGTCAGGAGATACTTGCCTAGCCTTGCACACCAGGTTCCATCCCCAGCACCACATAAGTTGCCCTGGTGGTATATGCCTGTAATCCCCATCACTCAGGTAGAGGCAAGAAGATCACAGTTTAAGGCCATTTTTGGTTGTATAGCAAGTTTCTGAGTAGCCTGGTCTACTGGCTGGTTTTGTGTCATCAAAGAGGAAGGAGCCTTAATTGAGGAAAAGCCTCCACAAGATCCAACTGTAAGACATTTTCTCAATTAGAGATCAATGAGAGAGGGGTCAGCCCATGGTGGGTGGTTCCATCCCTGGGATAGTGGTTCCGGGTTCTGTTAGAAGGCAGGCTGAGCAAGCCATGTGCAGCAAATCAGTAAGCAGCAGCCCTCCATGGCCTCTGCATCAGCTCCTGCCTCAGGGTTCCTGCCCTGCTTGAGTTCCTGTCCTGACTTTCTCCAATGAAGGACTGTGATGTGGAAGTGAAATAAATCCTTTCCTCCCCAACTTGCTTTTTAAAGGCCACGGTGTTCTGTTGCTTCAACAGAAACCCTAGCTAAGACATCTGGGTCACAAAAGTAGATACATACATAAATAAAAATCCTATTAGAGAAAAGGAATTGAAATCAAAGAAATGGCTGATATATACAGTGTATACTGAGCTCTTTAAGATATAGTTCCCTGGGGGCTGGAAAGATGGTCAGAGATTAAGGGCACTGGCTGTTCTTCCAGAGGTCCTGAGTTCAATTCCCAGGAACCACATGGTGGCTCACAACCATCTGTAATGAAATCTGGTGCCCTCTACTGGTGTGCAGGGATACATGCGGGGAGAATACTATATATATATATAATATATATTATATACATTATATATATATATATATATATATGTGTGTGTGTGTGTAAAGATATAGTTCCCAAAGAATATAAGGCATACAGAGTGGCTTTAAGAAGAAAATCACACAGGACTGAACACCATAAGAAAACTGTGCTTTTGCATATCTGGTTCAATAAATAAGCACTTCATATGGAAACAAAGTTACAGGAGCTGTGAACTTTTAGGGCCAGCAAAACTGTGTAGGAACTATCAGAATCTTATCTATAAAGTCAAAGCTATTACACAAAGAGATCATGGAATCAACACAGGAAGAAAGTATATTGTATTAACTCAAAGGGAAGAGTGCCTATATAGCAATCAACCACTGTGAAGTAGGCTGGTAATCAAAGCTATTTTTCATACAAAACCTGTGAAATTTCAGTAAATGAAAAAAATGTCTTGGTTTGTTATGTTACTAAGTGACAAAAATAGAATTTTATTGTGTTCTTTTTAAAAAGAAGAATAAAGCCTGTTGTGGCGCATGCCTTTAATCTCAGCACTCAAATGTAGAGACAGGATCCCTGAGTCTGAGGCCAGTCTGGCCGACAAAGCAAGTTCCAGGACAGCCTTGGCTATAGGGAAACCCTGTCTGAAAAGTAAAATAAGTAAATACACAAATCAAGTAAAACGATATGTTCTACAAAATAGCACATACATATCTGTGCTGTTTCTGTAGGAATGACCCGTTCCTAACATTGGTACCATTACCTCTTTGGGTCCAGTTGTTCCAGAAAGGAAGCTGACTTCGAACAGTGTGTGCATAGAACACACTCACGTCTTGAGGGGCAAGCAGGTCAACAAAGTGTGAGGACTTCAAGGTATCTTTCTTAGAATTCAGGATCAAAGCAGCCTGTTCAGAAATGTGCACTAACCTTCCAGACAGAAATGAAAACACTGCCACAAAGGCATCCTGTGAAAAATATTTAAGACAAATATTGAGGAACTCACAAACGATACTCTATGAAAAGTCAATTTCTTCTGGATTTCTACTGGATCCCAAGGCTTAAAAATACAAGCTCCTATACACATGTGCCCCCTGTAAAGAAAAAGTTTCCTAGTTTTCTCCAGTGTGCCCCTTAAAAAAAAAAAAAAAAAAAAAAAAAAAAAAAAAGACACCATGCCTCCTGAAAGCATCATCTGTATGCCAAAAGCCCACACCAGCTTCTATGCAGACTAAATATATATGCATCCACACACTTTTCTCCTCCTCTGCAAACTGTGTTGTCTAAGGAGGGGCCATCTCCTTGTCAGTAATGAAGAGTCTGTGTTTAAAGACCGAGCTCAAGATCTGCCTCCTTCACAAGTTGTCCTCAGCAGACCTCATTACATAAGAATTGAACCTCTGGTCTGTTTTATAGTCACTAACATAATTTGTAATCAGCTTGCTACATGGACCTGTTTCCCTGTCTAGACTCACTGTAAAGATTTTAGAGGTTGAATGTTTTTTAAAACTTGTTTTTTAAACGCCCACGACAGAAGTATGCACCTTAGTAGAATGAGCTCTATTATGTAACACTACACAACCCCTGCTGTAATACTATAAAAACATTAAGTTAAAAGTGATGTTGAAGTCTAAACATCTAATTAAGGAGTCTCTACCATCGGGGTTGGGGATTTAGCTCAGTGGTAGAGCGCAAGGCTCTGGGTTCGGTCCTCAGCTCCGGAAAAAAAAAAAAAAAAAAGTCTCAATAAAATATGAGGCTTAATTACTCTGTCAACAAGAAGAGATTTAAAAAAATATATATACACACACATACACTAAAGGTCTCTTCCAATCTTCCAAAAGTTCACCGTAAAAATGACATCTCATCTCACCTGTTCTACAAAATCTACTTGTTACAACTTGAGGAAGTAGGTATTGAAACTAAGAATGATATAAGTAGAAAGTAACAATTTGGAGCCTAGAATAAGATGCCAGACCAGAATTACTCTACCAATTCTATTTGCTGCTTTTTCTTTCTTCCTTTCTTTTCTTTTTTCTTTTTTTTTAAATCTGGGAGAACATGGGATGCTGAGGGAAAGTACCTGACAGCCACACACATAAGACTATGCTAGAGCGCGTAAGTTGCTGGTCTACCTTCAGATGCTCTCTGCCACGACTGAAACCACACAGGACCTTTTCAGCAGTTTCGCCTTCGTTTACCACATGGAGGAGAGCTCTCAGTGACTGTCTTAACACCCAGAGCAAGTCCTTAGGACGTGACCCCAGCAGAGACGGCAGCACTCATGAAATCTTACTGTGTTCTTGGAAGCAAGTTCAGAAGCAAGTGAGGCCAGCTCCTCAGGACTGTACACAGCCACGCCCATCTCAGGTGCTCCACGTGGGCTGAGGTTCAGGAAAAGTCCACCGTTTGCTAAGAAACACAAGGAAATAAACTGGTAATCCAGTGACCACAGCATCTTCGGGAAGTCATGTTTTGGCACTATCAAGCTGGCTCATTTTCTTAGATAAGGACACCTTAACTGTGTCTTCCTCAAAACCATAAAAAATATGGTTATGAAAATTTAAGACTATGGATTTTATGACTCCTGCATGTTCTAGATTATAAGGAGCAAGATTCACTTAAAGTTCTACAGCTAGTTAAAGAAATCAGACACACACACACATTTTATGGAGGAACATTTGCGTGCACAGATTACCCATTTATCACAGGTAAAGCAAGGAGGTTTGTAATAAACTCACAGCTTTATGGAATACTTGAGAAGGACAGTAAGAAGGAAAGGAAAAACATTTATCGTTTAATTTAGTCAATTTTTTTTTTATATTCTGTAACTGCATTTCTAAAGTATGTCCATGACAGGAAAATATACATGTATTTTCTCTTGTAACCTTAGGGAAGGCAATGCTCCTTGGAAAAAAGTCTTCAAGTTTTACTTAAACTGCTAAATTCCACTCTTGCAACAGATCTGCAAGAGACTGCAGTTTCTAAACTACCAGACAAATGCCACCCTCCTGGCTTTGGAGAGCCCAGAGGCGGCAGCTCCTTCAGTGTCACTAGCTTGCCTTGGCCACAAAGCAGCTCAAGCCTCCTGACAATTCCCAGTGTACCTGAGTGCCGGGCCCAGGGCCACCCTATTCTCCACGACTCAGTTACCTTGCACGCTAAGTACGCAGCGCAGGGCATAATTAAGGGCATCTAGGGTGCTGGGTTTAGTGTGTCTCTCGGCTGGAAAAGACTTTTTCATTTCCTGGACAAGCATTATAAGTTCTTCAGACATTCTGTTCCTGTCTTCATGTGCACTGAGTAGAAAAAACACACACACAGTGAGTGGTAATGGTGGACACTCAGGAAATACCCTATTTTTAGGGGTGTTCGGGTGCATAACTCACTCGGATCACTGGGCTAATGCCCTTTCTCTTCCAGGTAGGGGACATTTTACACTTCCGTCTCCCTTCAGCCCGCACGCCTTCAAATTCCTTAACCGCTTTCCCCTGTCTTTCCGCTCCTGTAATTTACTCTAGTAACATCCTCCTCCCATCAGTTCTCACTAAACTGTCTAAAAGTTCCCTTTCTGGTCGCCGCCCGCCCTACCCCGCCCCCGGGGTCAAAAAGTTTTCAGCGTCGTTTCCCAGCTCCAGGGAAGGGCAGTAAACACGAAGGCGGTAGGCAGGGTTCCTAGCGTCAGTCACCTGCGGCTGCCGCCCGCCGAAGAGCCCAGCGGCGGACCCTCCGGGTCAGACGCCCCCTGGGGCCCCTGCCCCCTGCTGTGGGGACGGTCGCCGCCCGGCCCTGCCTGGTCTCCACGGGAGTCCATCCCGCCTGGCGGCCCTCGGCCCGCTTTCCTCAGTTTGCAGGTAGCAACCAAACCCGGCTTGTTTTGGTCCCTGCCATCGCCTTCGGGAAAACCGGGTCGCCGAGCACGCTCATCTGAGGGGCACTTTCCTCCTCAGCATTTTCACGGAATCTGCTCGGGGGACGAGCCGCGCCGGCAGCTCGACGGCGGAAGCGGGCTGGTCGGACCCCACCGAGGCTCTCCCGGAGCTGGTTCAGCCCGAACCAACTTTTCCACCGTCCACGCCGGGGAGTCGGCGAGCATCAAGAAACGCCTCGGAGCGCAACGTTCCGGGGCGAGCGGGCGGAAGACAGGGGCAGCAGCGTCGGGCCGTGCGGGCTGGCAGCCGCCGCCCCGCAGAGCCCTCGCCCGCAGCCCCGCACAGGCCTCGCCCACCCGCGGGCCGCCGAGTCTCGAGGCCGGCCGCGTGCGGAGCGGCCGCCGGCCCCGCCCCCTGCGCGCCGGGGCCCCGGCCCCGCCCCTCCGCCGCGCGATTGGCCACTGCGGCCGGCTACGCGAGCTCCCATTGGCCTGGGGCGGAGCCCAGCTCGGCACCGCGGGGGTTACATAACCGCGGGCGCGTGGGCGGGTGCAAAGGCCCCGGGAGAACCTTACATAACGCGCGGGTCGGGCGAGGTCGGCTCTTGGCCAATCCCGGCCGCGGGGCGCCCGGGTCGGGGGCGGAGTGGCCAGGAGGACACTAGGGCCCAGCGGCGCAAGTGTCGGGCTGGGCCTCCCGGGGGCGGGGCCCGGGAGCTGTCGGTCAGGAGAGGGCGGGCCCGGGGGCGTGGCCTACAGGTGATTGGAACCCGGTTCGCCCGCGGTAGTGCCCAGGGACGCAGTGCTTTGGAGTGGAGGGTCTTCTTGGTGTCCCTTTGTTTTAATCTTCCCTAAACTTGCTTTGTCCTCCCTCCCGCCAGCTAAAGGCGAATGAACCCAGGTAGAATCCAATCGAATTTTCAGAAATAGAAGTTTAATGATACAAGGTAGATCCATTTGGCAACAGGAGGAAGACAAACATGTAAACGATGCTCCCTTTTCGAGGAAACAGCGGGGGCTCTGATTTTTATGACCTTCTCTGCTCTTGGGAAATGAACAGGGTAGATAGAGCTCCAGCCCTCTGCTGCCTGGGTACACCAAGAAGACACTGTGTGTGTGGGGGCGGGGACAGGAGACGGCGCAGCGTATAGAAGGCAGCGCCTATTGCTCTTCCTCTGGAAGGATCCCAGGAACGCTCTATCAGGGAATCCAAAGCCCTCATCGACAAAAGCACTTGTATATACGTGCACATTCATGTATCCAGACATACACACAACACGATTAATAAAAATCTGGAGGAAAAGTACACTTAGTATTTTTTGGATGAACGAAAGGAGTTCTAGGTCAAAGAAGGTTAAGTTGCCTGAGGGCAGTTAATCCACATTATGTATTAGACAAATCACCGATTTTTCCAAGTCTTTCTCCACACCAGAGCACTCTACCGCTAAGCTCTTCATCGAGCAGCACTCATTATACAGCTATTGAGTGCACACCTGGGCAGGGACAATTGCATTCTCTGAAGACAGGACAAAAATCTCTCACACCTAACATGCAACACAGTGACTCCTGAAAGGCATCAAAGTCTCTGAGATGGTAATAATAATAATAAAAAAAAAAACCCTAATGGAATGGGAGGGGTAGAGGTTAAGGGAGGAGGCAAGAGGCCTGGGAAGCGGTCTGGAGGAAAAGGGGAAATGAGTCACCCCTCGGGGTGTGTGTGTGTGTGTGGGGGGAGGACAACAGAACTGAACAGCACTGGCACCTGCCGGGCCATCCTGGTGCTAAACAGTATGAGAGCAGGTGAGAAAGGAGGGTCCAGACTGTGGTGAGACTTGACCTTAAGGAAAAGCACACTTCTATGTTGTAAACATACACAAAAGCTGTCCACATTACTTTGTTTCCAAGTGTGGAGGAATGAGGGAGGGTGCTTGCAAATGAAGGCAATCAGACAGGAGGGCCCGCATTTGGAACATCTCACACCTATCCAAATTTACCTATCTGGCTGGTGTTGGTGTGGTGTACCAGGGCCAACTTTCCAGAGGACAATATTTACCAAACCCACAGGGCACATTCCTACTCATCTCTGCACTGAAAAGCACTTTCCATTTGAGGAATGTGACGGTTTCAGTTGTGGACTTCATTGGATCTGGAATCAACTGAAATGCAACCTTCTGGACATTCCTTGTGGGTTTTCTTGCTCAGATTGTGTGAAGTGGGGAAGACCTACCTTAAATTATAGGCAGTTAACTTTTGGTGGCAATCCAGTTGATGATAATGGAAGACGGAAGCTCTGCTCTCTGCCAGTGAGCCGTTATCACAACTCAACTTTTGGGCTGCAGACCCAGGAATACTCCAGGAATACTCCAGGTCCGCAGTACCAGATTGGAACTGCTCGAACACTCAGCCTTGCGAACTTAGTGGCTACCAGGTTCCCTGTAAGGAAATGGTGCTTCAGGATTGGATTGGCTCAGTAATCCCAAAGGTCAAGCTCTCAGCACAAAGGAGATATATTTACCCCAGAGGAACAAAGGGCAGGGAATAAAAGACAAAGACAGCCTTTAGAATGTGAGGGAGACCGGGAAGGGAACAAGGTCAGGGATGTTGGTCCTGGAGGGACAAAGGACTGCCTCTGGATACAGACCCATAGGAAACGGGCAGTTGAGGGGAAAGCCCATGTTTGGATGAGGTGTTTAATTGGGCATGTTAATTAGGTGAGCTGAAAGAGGCTTTTGATTGTTGGACTTACTTTGATAGCTGGACCTTGGTACTCAGCCTTAGGAGGAGGAAGTGGCCAAGTAAGGGAACAGGTGTTGGTGGCTAGCTTTAGGAATGTCATCCAGTGGTTTTCAGCATGGCAGGAGTGGGAGAGGACAAGGTCTGCCAGAGCCATGGTTGCCATACTCAAGCTGGGTGGAGTCCCTTCATGCTCAGGCTCTCCAGTGTGGAGCAGACCATATCACAGAAGCCCATCTAATACATCTTTTACTTTATACTCATCAGTTCTGCTCCTCTAGAGAACCCTAACACAGGATGGGATCTACAGCTACACACAGAATCATGCGTTCCTTGTGGGGGTGGGTAAGAAAGGAAGGCTAGTTTGTGGGGGTGGGAACAGCAATACGGATGAAGTGTATCCACCACACTGCAAGGAACACAAGACAGGATCATGTTAATATACAACTTTATTCAGGACATCACAGCGGGAAAGTTCCCAGCTAAATGCACAGATAAGCGAGGTATTACTGTGTTAATGCAGGAGCCAATGAGCTGCATGGGTCTGAGTCTGCAGGAGACAGCACCAAGGTTGTGTGGTCAGACCAGGACAGAAGCCCTAGGCTGATGCTGCTTTCCCATAGTGGGGCATGCTTTCAATATTTATATTGTTTCAGGAATGTCAGGGAACAAATACAAAATTGGAACCAGATTCTGTTACATCTTGACTGACGCCACTCTACACGCAAACACAGATTCCAGGATATTCCAGTGGCACTGCCACAGGCAAAAATGACCTGTTTCTTCCTCTGCTTTCGTATTTACATTCACGCCTGAACTCCCATCTCTGAACCACACCTTGATGAAAATCTCAGATACACAAGGAAAGTGTCTCAGATGGCATCTCTGGAGAGCTATCCACTTGGAGGTGACCAACGCTTAACCTCGAGCATGACACAGAGGCCTGATTTAGGAATGGATTATGAGTAAAGGCATTCAGACGCTCTGAAGTGAGACTGCTGAGCTGCTGCTCACAGTGCACCAGAGGCCACGGCTAGTTCAGTCTGCAAACTGCTGGCTAAATGTCTTATCTACCGTGTGCCTTTAGCTCACCCCTACAGCTCTATGGAAGAAACTGAATGAGAAGGAGTAGCATTATCCACAGCATTTCACAGGAAGGACTGTGAAAAACGCTGAATGCTCACACAGTTATTAACCCTTTTTCTTGATGGGTGCCTTGAGTTACATACATTTGGCACGTATTTGAATAGATCTATGAGGGAAAGACTTATGGACATTTTATTTGTATTTAACGTTTGGCAAAAGAAACTTTGGTCATAGTTCTATAAAAACTTTAAAGAGTTATTTTTTGATTAAAATACTTTTAGAAGTGATGCACAAGAACAAGAAAGCAAACATCTTGACACCTAACACGAGAGCATCTTAAATACAGCAGGGTCAGTAGTGCTTACAAAACCGAGGGTCCTCCTAAGGAAAAGGAGCCAAGTATCAAAATAAGGCACACCCTGTTATTGTCACCAATTTGTACTAGGCAGTAGTGTTCTTCTCGGAAGGCGCAAGTTGGGAATCTAATCACCCAAAGGTTTAAAATGTGGGTTTGAAGGCGATGTCAGATGTGGGGATAGCTGACTTGAACAAAATCCCCTTCCTGGAATCCACAGCAAGTCATCAGTGACAACATCCATCTAGACTCCAGCACTCTGGAGCATCAGAAGTCCTCTTCCCTGGTTGGTGCATAAATCTGTAAAGGCACTGTGCAAATGTGGGCAGGGTAGGTCACACCTCCCATTTGGAGTATATATTAAAACAAAGGCACATTTCCTAGGCACTGAACTGTATGTAAACTAACAAAAATAATCACTTGGAAAAAAAACAGTAGGTAAGCTCGGTAACACAGCAGGTTCTAAGTAGAAAGTCTCCAAGACGCTCCTGAACAGTGGTCTTCGGTTTCCCGGGTTCTTCATTAAGAGACACACCACACTAAGAAGCAGGGAAGATTTACAAACAGTGAAGAGGGCAGTTTAGTCTTTTTGCATAGAAACTCAATATAGATTTCTGTTGTCTTATTTGGCCAGTTGGGATAGTCAAAGTGATCTCAGCTAATCACTATACTCCACAAAGGGAACATAAAACTGCATAGGAGAGAAAAACTGACCAGTCAGTAGCAATGAGATTCCTTATTCCCAAAGGATGAATGTCTACATCCATCCATCCACCCACCCACCCATGTATCGATCCACTCACCCACCCACCCACCCATCCATCCATCTAAACAAAATACCAGACTTTAATCACACAGCGTCATGAAGTATGGTGGCACATGCCTATAATCCTAGCACTTGAGAGGCTGAGGCAAGAAGAACACAAGTTCAAGGCCAGCCTGGGATGTACATTGAAACCCTGCCTCAAATTTCCTTCAACATCACCACCCGTAAACACTCTCAAGTATTAAAAGTATTTGATAAGGAGAAATATTTAAACCTCGGCATAAACTAGCCTTCACCCTTTGCTACTGCACATGCAAAGATCAGTGAACAAGGGGTTGGGGGGGTAACTCACCAATAATGATGATGACAATAATCACCAGGACACTGATCCCTATCGCCCACATCTGCAACAAGACAGGTCCATTTAACATTGCAAAAACAGACAGAGCTTGATGGGAGATATCATTCTGCAAATATGTTTCTCTTACTGGTTAATGAACAAAGCACTGTTGGCCAATAGGGAAGCAAGATAGGTGGGATTAGGAGAGGTGGAAGATTCTGGGAAACATAAGACAGAGTTGCGATGTGATCTTGGGAGGAAAGGTCCCATGAATCTGGCTTTCTCAGTAAGATAAGACCATGTAGGAATACATATATTAGTGATTATGGGTTACTTAATACAGAGCAAGCCAGTAAGAAGCTCCAGACATTGGCTAACAGCATTATAATTAATACAGTGTCTCTGTGTGTTATTTAGGGCTGACACAGCAATGGACCAGGCCGGTGGGAAAGCGTTTGCTACAACAAGTACAGTGTGGGATAATTTATCATTTCTGAAACCTAAATTTAATTCTTCCAGTTGAGACCTGACATTTAGTTAAGCACTTTCAAAAGTGTGTTCCAATCCTCTGTGGCCTCTGGAAAGACAGATTTCCACACAGGACACTGAGTTTGTCGCCCATATCCTTTCTAAACAAAGCATGACAGGAAGTACTTTAGATATGATCACAGATGGTTTCATTTGCTAACATGTAAGCCTGCTTTGAGCAATATTCCTATGTGGCTTTCTCCTCTTTTGTTGAGCAAGATGGACCTTCTTAGCATTTAGCCTTCGAAATTGGAGCCATTCCCAGAATGGGCTGCACACTGAGCATCAAAGCCAACACTCCTCTGTCAGTGTGTGCTCAGGTACCTAGGCAGGGTCTAACACCCAGGATTGATTTGGGACAGTCATATTCTGCATATCTTTTAACTTTAGCCACATAACATGGGACTGGATTCCTGTGGGCAAGGGAAAGGGGCGTGGACTCATGGTTGGCCCAGACTCCACCCACTTCCCAGAGTTCCGGAACACAACACCATGGCCCTGTAGCTCTGGCGGGTCTGTCAAGAGAGCATTACCTTGCAGTTCTTCCACCAATACTTCCTCTTCAACTTGGCAGCACTAGTTTCAAACTGAGAAGCACCAGCCTGCAGTGCATCAGCACGGTCATCGAGCTCCGAGAGCTTCTGGTCTCTTTCTAACACCTTATCCACGTTGACTCTCATGATGTCAACCACCTAATGGACACGGTCACAGTTACACAGAAGGTCAGCATTTATTACCTTGAGCTAAACCTTTGCTTAAAAAGAAAATCCACTAGGCAAACCAGGGATAGATGGGAACTTCAATAATGGGCACTTGTGGAAACCCACACTAGTATTACATGCCACGGTGAGAGACTCAACTTCCTCTAAGGTCTGAAACAGAACAGGGTGCTCACTTTCACGGCTGTCTAACACTACACTGGCAGTCCTGGCCAGGGCAATCAGTTAAGGGTAGAAAGACATTCTGGTTGGAAAGGAAGAGGCTACCTACTACTTACCTGTAAGAAATTCTACAGAACACCCTTAAGCCTCAGCAGTTTGATGACCTGAGTTCAATCCCTGGGACCCACATGGTGGAGAGAGAAAACTGAGTCCTGCAGTTGTCCTCTGACCTCTGCACATGCGATGTACTGCGTCCTCCCCTACCAGATCCGTGCTATGAGTCAATCCTGCTCTCTTAAGGCCAGATGAGAAGTAGTGACAGGAGAATCGCCTGGATGTCCATGGGCCAGTTAGCCTGGATTCACAGCACAGCATGGCAGGGACAAGACACAACCTCAACAAGGTGGAAGCGAGCCAACTCCAACAAAGTTGTTCCTGACCTCCAACACATATGCTATGGTACCACAGCATATCTGTGCCCACTCAAGTACCTCTACCCCTTCCGCCACACACACACACACACACACACACACACACACACACACACACACACACACACAGGCTTTAAAAGAATCCTTCAAATTCTAGTATAGTGATTAAATTGAGTCAAGTTGTAGCATCTAAGATAAACATACACACAGTTATTTTTCTAAGTGCCAGCAATGAGCAATGTGAAAAGGACATTAAGAGAGCAGCAGCATCCTCACCAAAAGATCTGAAAGAATAAAAACCTATACAACATCACACTGAGCAGGTGGCCCAGTGGGTAAAGAACCTGCTGCATAAACATGAAGACCTGGGTTTGGATGTGCAGCACTCACATAAAAACAAACAAACAAAAACGGATGTGCAGTCTGCTCCTGTAATCCAGCACTGGGGAAGGCAGAGAGGGGAAGATCCCAGAGACTCACTGGCCAACTAGTCCAGATAACAGACAGTTCTGCATTCAGTGGAGTACACTGTCTCAAAGATTAAGGTGGGAAGAAAATAGAAGGAATAAAAGAAAATTCCTGACTTTGACCTCTGGCCACCTCATGTGTACATATACATGCCTACACCACACCCACTCATAAAGAGAAACCAGAACAATACATAACACTTCTGTAAGCTGGGTATAACAGCACATACCTTTTAGCTTTTGGGAGGCTAAGGCAAGATATCGTGAGTTCAAGGCAGCCCGAGCTACACCTTGTCTCAAAATGAAGCAAAACGACACAGACACACACATACTGCTATGAGAATTAAAGTCTTAGTAAGTGGGAAGATACCCACGCTTGCACATTGAAAGACTTAATACTGTGGAGATGGCAGGATTCTCCCAATGACCAACAAAGTTAATGCAATCCAAACAGCTGTTTTTCCCCTCAGAAAAACTGTCATGAAATACCAATTCCACAGGCCCTTTTTTGTATGTAATTTCAAAGAACTGAGAATAAGCAAACCAATACCAAAATAAATAAATAAAAACCAAAACCTTACAATGGTCATAGTTCCCAATTTCAAAAATCACCCCAAAGCTGTCGTAATGAAAGCTGTGGTACTGATACAAGCACAAAAGACAACCAGCAGGAAATAATTGGAAACCTGAAAAATCTGCCTACACATTTGCAGCCAATTGAGCGGATATATTTATTGACTGATCCATTCTGGTACTGGAGATGGAACCTAAGTCCTTGTGTTGGTTAGGCAAGTGTTCTACCACTGAGCTACATGCTAAGTCTGCCAACTAATTTTCAAAAAGATGCTAAGACCATCAAATGGAGAAAGAATATTCTTTTCAACAAACAGAGCTGGCACAACTAAATAGCCATAAGGAAAGAGTAAAGTTGGGTTCCTGTTTCATTTCCTATACAAAAAGAACTCAAAGTAGACCAGTGAGTTTAAGAGCTAAGAGTATAAAAACTCTTAAAGACAAAAGTAAAGTTTTATAGCTTGTTTTAAGTTTCTACTGCTATGCTAAAACACCATGACCAAAAGCAACTTGGGCGGAAAGGGTTTAATTCATCTTGTAGCTTGTAGTCCAACGTCCAGGAAGTCAGGGCAGGAACTGACGATGTAGAGGTCATGGAGGATGCTATTTCCTGGCTTGCTCCCTGGGACTTGCTCAGTCTGTTTCTTACACCATCCAGGACCACTTTCCAAGGGGTAGTACACCCAACAGTAAGCTGGGTCATCCCACACCAATTATCATTCAAGAAAATGTTTGCCCATAAGCAAATCTGGTAGGGCTATTTTCTCAATTGAGGTTCTCTCTTCTAAAATGACTAGCTGAGATCAAGTTGACATAAAACTAGCCAGCACACAGCTTCAGGTCTGGCTCTAGGCTTAGATTTGATATCAAAAGCAAGAGCAACAAAAGGAAAAAAAAAAAAAAAAAAGGTAAATTGGAGCCAGGTGGTGGCAGCACACACCTTTTTAATGCCAGCACTCAGAGGCGGTGGATCTCTTGAGTTTGAGGCCAGCCTAGCAAACAAATCAAATTCCAAGACAGCCTAGGCTGTTATACAGAGAAACCTGCCTTGGAAAGAGAGATGGAGACAGACGAGGTAGAGATGAGACAAGGGAGGGAAGGAAATTGAGCTTCATGAAAAGTAAAACCTCTTGGCATCAAAGTATACTATGAAGAATGAGACCAACCAACCCAGAGGATGGAAATATTTATGAACTATGTATCTGATAAATGTTGAGTGTGAGGAATACAGAAAAGAGCCTTGTAAGTTAACAGAAAGACAGCACAACAGAATCATCTACAAAGGAAGCATGTATGAGACACATAACTGTAATCCTAGCCCTAGGGAGGCTGAGACAAGAGGATCTGAAGTTCAATAGTAGCCTGGGCTACACAGTAAGTTCCAGGTTAGCCTGTGCTAACTAACAGCTGTAACACAAAAGGGGGTAAAAGACTTGATCAGTCACTTCTTCAGAGAATGGCCAGCATGCACTAATCATTGATCAAATCATTAATTAATTAAAAACCACAAGGAGATCCCACCTCCTGCTTGCTACGATAGCTGTAGTCCCAAACTCAGAGCACCAGGGACACTGGCCACTGCTGTCAGGAAAATAAGCTAGTGTAGGTTAAGTAGCCACAGAGTTATTATATGAACCAGCAATGCTACTCTTAGGTCCACACTCAAATGAAACAGAAATGAAGACATATTTAACAGATCTGGCTCTGGGATACTTATAGCAGCACCAGAGAAGCAAGAACAGCTCAGCTGCCCACTCACTATGACTGGATAACAAATCATGCCTTATACAGATCATGAACTAGCACTCTGCTTCAATAGGGGACACAGTGCCAGCATGGACTACAGCCTGCATGAATGTGGAAGCACACTCAGGTGAGGGAAGCCTGACACTGATCTTTGAAGATGCTATACCTAGACTAGGCAAACCCAAAGCAACAAAGTACAAAGAGGGAGGGGTGAGCGAGTAGGAAATGAGTGCTGGGTTGCTTCTCAGCAGTGCCAAGAGTTCTGAACACAGGAAGATGTCATAGTTGTGCAGCCAGTGACTAAACAAGTTATGCATGAAATGAGAGACTTTAAAATGCTTAATTGTGTTATGGGTATTTTACCTCAAAGAACAAAAACTCAATTTTCTTTAAAATTCATTTAATTTCTTTAAAAAAAAAAAGGGGGGGGGGAGGTACAACTTGAGTTTGCAAATGTCAAAATTGGTGTAAAGGTCTAAAATGCTCAGAATTAAGTTCATAAAGAAACCATCCTATTAAAATATTCCTGTAAGATTTAGTAACAGTAGCTAAGATAGCTAGTTTTAGGACAATTAAAAGCAGAAAGATTGTGCCAAGTGTTGGTGCCTTTAGTTCCGGCACTTGGGAGCAGAGGCAGGCAAATCTCTTGAGTTTGTGCCAGCATACTGTACAGAGTGAGTCTGAGGACAGCCAGGACTACAGACCCTGTAAGAATATAGAAGTAGGGAACTGGGAGAACCTGGGTTTGGGGCCCAGAACAGACACAGCAGCTGTCAACCTTCTGCAATGCCAGTTCCAAGGGTTTTGATGCCCTCTTCTGGATTCTGCAGGCACTGCAGCACACAGTACAGGAACGTAGTACAGTGCACAGAGTACACAAACACTCACACACAGATGAAATAACAATAAATCCTTTTAAAAAAAGTTCCTATTCCTACCCTGCCTTTGCTCCTGCAGAGGCGTCTGGCACTGGGCTGCAGCAGTCATGGTGACCCTGACTCAGCTCGTACATGACCACTAGGTTCACATACTTGTCCCCGTGGCATTTGTCTTTGGATGCTATCTAGACAGAAGATGATGAAGAGCTAACGGCCTTTTGGAATGAGAATATGTGCTTTCAAAGGGAATTGAGACCCAATGAAGAAGTTACTTGGCAGGAAAGCCTGTGGCTAAACCACAGAATGTTCACATTTTTAAAGTTATTGGAGAAATAAAAATGTTTGTTATTGTAAAAAAAGAACATGGAAGTATCAGCCTGAGGTTCTCACAGAATCTTCACTGTGTTTTTACATGTACACACTCAAACAAAAGATGCCAGAAGAGTTGTCTAGCTCAAGAATTCCAGAGGGAGCTGCTGGGCTACAGCAATTGCCAGACAAAGCTCTATGAAGACCTGCCTATACTAGCTAACTGGTAAAGCTGGCTACAGGGCTCACAACAAACACACACATAAACGCCAGATCAGAAAGACTTGTCCCTGGTTTGAACAATCTAGTTACCCTATTCTACAAAGTGGCTCAGGGAATATGCTTTCAGGGTTTAGGTATGTGATTTGATAGTAAGTGAAACCAGGAAGTGTTTGCCTTGTGCTTAAAACACAGCTTCTAAAACACACAGGCAAAACACTCATTCACATTTGAAAAAGAAAAAACAAACAAACAAAACTTAAAAAATATGAAAATACTAAATTTTTCACAGAAACTCCACTGTGGTCCTCTCCTCTAAATACACAATTAGAAATAGAAATGTAGAGTCAAAATTGTACTCACACACTGATGATGCCTTTTCTTTTTTCTAACATTAACATTTTTAAGAGTGTGTGTTCGTGGGTGTGTACACACAGATGCAGATGCCTTTGGAGGCCAGAGTTAAAGGCAGTTGAATGGCCCAAATATGTACTCGGCAGCCCCAATGACTTTTTCTGACGGAACCCCACAGAATGCCCATGCTTGCTTAAAATCCACTTCTGAGAATTTTAGAGTAGTACCTCATCGACTTGATTCTGTGTCTGCTGGAGTCTTCGGTTACTGCCGGCAGCAGCACTTGAACTCCCTGAAGGCACACCTGTGGACCTGAAAGGCGTAAGGCACATGCATAAGTATATTGTGATTTCCAATGCACTTACACAAGACAGGCTTGGAAGGCGGACACGGGAACCCAGTCAGTGCTCCTACAGTGAGATGGGAGGAGCAGATATGAGGGTTTGGGGCACTTGAGGGCCAGAGAGCCTGACACACACGGTACTGAATGACAGATACTGTCTCAAATAAGGCGGGAGACAAGAACTGATATCTGAAATTGTCCTTGAACACATACCATGACACATGTATGTGCGCATAAAATGCCATGCCGGGACATAGACTTACTAATTTCTTACATTGAAATTAAAAAAAAAAAAAAAAAAAAAAAAAACGGCCCTGCAGTTAGAGATAAAGGCAGTAATGCATTTTTTATGATCCCTCAATAATTCCCAAGACTGTACCAGTGGCCAAAGTCTGAAATCTTTGTTGTGTCAATGAAGTGGCTGAATAATACCTCCACTTTCTGCATTTTTTTTTTTTAACTTGCTTTAGGGGCTGGAGAGATGGCTCAGAGGTTAAGAGCACTGGATGCCCTTCTAGAGGTCCCGAGTTCAATTCCCAGCAACCACAAGGTAGCTCACAACCATCTATAATGAGATCTGGTGATCTGGTGCCCTCTTCTGGCCTGCAGGGATACATGAAGGCAGAACACTGTATACATAATAAATAAATCTATAGAAACAAAACAAGAACCACCTTGCTTTAAGACACACACATGTTTAATGGCACTCAGTATTCTCCTGATTCTTCTGTTGTGGCAAAAACTGTCTTAGAGTTAGAAACGACCACAAAATAGCCAAAACGGAGAAGTAGCCTCCAAGTGCACGGAAGGGTTTGTGTCAGCGACAGGTGGGCTGAAAGCAAATCTTTGCTGCAAAGTCACTCATCCTGCACAGGTTCATCGAATGCTTTATCCGCCCATGCCCACTTTTCATAACTACTCTTGCTTCGAAGTCAGTACCTCCATTAAACTCTTCCCTGTATCTAAGCCAGCACTGAGATGTGCCTCGCAGCACAACACTCGTTCTAGCGTTGATTCCGCAGCCTTTTAAGTGCACGGTGTCTATCAGCAGGGCACGAAACTTCTGGTGGCTGTCTCAGAGCTCAGGGTCTGAGAGCAAAGCAGGCAAACATTGCTCTGGGTCCAAACAGTATCCGTGTATTTTTCTCTTTGAACCCTAATACCCCTTTGAAGAGGATACTACCTTCATCTTCCTAACATTTGGACTGGACACGCAGCTGGCTGAAGTGAAGCCAGGTCCAGCTCAGGTCTTTGAATGGCTCTGGGCCACTGCCGTTTGCACAGCATCTTTGGTGGTGTCAACCCTGGGTAGAGGGATATATACACCACTAGAAACCAACTTCAAAACAAGTTTTTTTTTCCCTCCCTTCAAACGGAAGCGAAACCCACGGCCAAGCTACGGTGCGAGCGCGGCAGCTTTGAGCGGGCACCACCTGGGCCGGCACCTGGCGCCCGCCCGGCCGCCCCGCACTTTGGGGAGCTCCGGCGCGCGGACAGCCGGCGCTCACGGTCGCCCCCGGGGGCCTCGGGGAAGGAACCGCGGGGCGTGGCGGACGCTTCCTCTGGAAGCCGGTGCCCCGCCCTCGCCCTTCCGCGTCGGGCCGCCAGCCGCGCGCGGGGCACTCGGGGACGTCGCGGCACCACGAGCCGGCCCGCAGCGCCCGAGGGCGGAGTGCAGCGCGGGGGCCCCCGCCCACCTCGGGCCCAGGGCGCTGCGCGCAGGCCCGCGAGGCCTCCCCGCGAGGCCGAGCCCCGGTCCCGAGCAGCGGCCACCACGCCTGACGAGGGTCGCAGGAGGAGCCCGCCTCGCCCCGCAGCGCAGGGCGTCACTCACATTTTGGCGGCGGCGGGGGCGGCGGCGGCGACTGGGCGAGCGTCGGGGAACCTGTGCAGCCGGCGACCGGGGATGTGGAGGTGGGCGGGGCTGCGTGACGTCACGACGGGGGCCGGACAGGAACCGACGAGGAGCTCGCCGCCGCGAGGGCGCGCCGGAAGTGGGCGGGGCAGGAGCCGGGCGCGGAAGTGGCGCCTCCCCCCACCCCGCGGAGTGGGCGGGGCGCTCTCGGTGGACAAGTGGGCGGGGCTAGGGCGCGGCGCCTGCGCCTTTGGACCGGCTCCTCGCCGCCAAGGAATCGCAACCGCTTCCTCGAGTGTCGCCGCGGCCCTGTCTCTAGCCCTGGAAAGGCAGTTCAAAGTAAGAACGGGTGTGTTTGACATCTCTTTGAGTCTGCACACGTCGCCTCTGGGTCACTATCAGAAACAGCGTGCGTGCCCAAAGTTCCAGAATAATCGATCTAGTGGGCCCAGAGAGACAACCGAGGTTCTTTCCCCAGAAAGGTAAGGGGCAGTAGGAAGTCTTGACCACAGGGCTTGGGATAAGTCTCCTCTCGAGTTCTCACTAGCGATGACAAATACTTGCCATTGCACGGACATTACAATCCCTGAAGGGGAGCCTTGACGTTGAGAACTCTAGTTTCTTCGTTTCTGTAATTCTCTGGCCCCAGCAGAGTATTCTCTGGCCCCAACTTTTGCTCAAATGGGGTGAGTAGTATCCGTTGCAGTGTAACCCAACATGCTTAAACAGACCAAATAAGGTGAGCTGGTGGACTCCTAAGTGAAACCACTAAGCTGTCTTCCACTTCCAATTCCAGTGTGCTAATTCCAGAAAGTTCGTGTGTATTGGAAACGAGAGAGTGCCACCTAACTAACTGGGTATTGGGTTGAGTGGTAGCCATGGAGGATGTTCTAGGTTAAGAGGGAGTGGAGCAAGGAACTGGAGTGTGTGGGGCTGGGTAAAACAAGAGCGAAGGCAAGCAAGACAATGGTACATAAATGCAGTGGGCTCCAGAAAGTATCAGGAACTCCCCGTGGGACACTCACAGTGTGGAACTGTCTGGCACTAATTCTGAGATAGATCTGAAGTGAGGTACTCCTAGATAAGAAGAACTCTGCAGAGAAGAGGACTGGAACAATGACTAAAAGTTCCTAGAAGGGAGCTAAGCGAGCTAAGCTGGAAAGGGGCTCAAAACAAAACAAAACTACCCAGTAGAGGTGGGGGGTTTAGCCTAGTTGGTATCATGCTGGTCTCACATGCAAAACCCTGGGCTTGATCCCAAGAACCACAAAAACCCAGCCTGAGGAGGATCTCTGTTGAGTTCCAGGCCAGCCCAGTGTACAGGCTGAGTTCTAGGTCAGCCAGAAGTGTTACACAGAGAAACCCTGTCTGAAAAGAGCAAACTAGCAAACAAACAAAACCACCCCAGCCTGTTGGCACCCATAATCTCAGCATTTCAGGTAAAAGGTAAGAGGTTCAAGGTCATCCTTGGGGTTAAACCGGGAATTTAGGGGGTACCCTAGGCTTCACGAGAAAAGGTGAATTTAGAGTTAAGATCCTTACTTATCTTTCAAGTAGCTGCACTTAAGACAAATGATTGATGTGATGAGAAGCGAGCCATGTAGGAGGAAAGCAAGTCCTTTGGGGAAGTGGCTCTAAGTGAACACTGGCCCTGGAAACACTGTAGTCCCAACTACGATCTCAGCCTCAACACCCTGGGTTTCAGGTCAGGGTAAAGCAAAACACAGATAGTATGGGGAAATTTTCTTCATTTTTAATTTACAGCAGAAAGAATATAAAGCATTCAGAAAACATTTTCCATATTTTAAGGGCAATTCAAAACATTTTGCATGGTTTCCAGCAGCTGAGTTCTTCAACAGATCCATTGAGTCAATGATGCTATACATGCAGTTACAAAAATAAAACTTACAAAAAGAAGACATCTAGACTAGTTTACATGCAAGTCTCAGGGACCCCCCGTTGGGCGCCAACTACTGTGTGGGACTGCCACAAGCGGCCGTGCAGCCAGAAAGGGTTCGCCGTAACATCTTTATTTCATTCACACAGTACAGCTGATTTTGAATGGGGTAACAAGGGTAGCAATTAAATCTTCAGGAGACAGAATAAGATTAGCTATTAATTTTTATAATGAAATCCTACTCCTGGCACTTGGGAATTCAGATTATCCAAGAAAGCTGCGCCTTATCTATATCACCTTATGTTCAAAATCAAGAGTCACGATCAAAAAAGGTGGTCAGAAATGCTGTTTCAGTGGAAGTACGCTTCGACCTCACCTAGAATTCACAGTTGTACTGGTAGGTTTTGACCCTACTTTATCCCCTCCATAATAACTTCCTAATTCTATGTAAGTCTCTATCTTCCAGAATGTTCTAACTTATTGAGCTAATAATGTGGCATGTGAGACATTTAAAAAAATAAATGTGAGGGTTGAAGCAAATCCACCGAGGTCGTTACTCTGGTCAAATGGTCAGTTATCTGAACCATAAGCAATGGAGTAAATGTATCCAAATCTAGTATTAATATAGGATACTCTGAAAGAGCTGGCTTTATGTTCTATTCCCTGTTATGAATACAGTTGTGTTTTTATGAATTACTCAGTGTCCTCAGACAGGTCACATTGTGTAAAATAATAGCTATGGGGGGTAGGAGGCAAGGGTTACAACAGCTGCAACATAACCCACACATGTAAAAACAAAATTGGGTCAGGTCAGCTTACAGATGTGCAGGTGGCTACTAGTCGTGGGGCTGTCACTGTTGTCCAAGCTGATCACAAGCAGAAAGACATACACTGTACAGTCATTTGAGGTTGGCAGTGAAAGGAAGTAATTAAAAAACAAGTACAATTATAGAAAAGGCACCAAGAGCACTGACCCCAGTTTTTATTATTATTATTTTTTTAACCACAATCTTTTTGTTTCTACCTTCCTTCTGAAGACACCAGTTTAAAGCTTATTTGTGAATATTTTTAGGCTTCACAACAAGCCTTGAGTTTTAACTCACAGTTGGCAGCCAGAACCATGTTTTTTTATTTTTATTTTTTAAATAAAATCTCATACCAACCACTTCTCACACTTAAGCTGGGATTTTTAAACTGGCATTAGCAAATGCAAAAATTGGTTCTCTCTGTTTGACATGAATGGTTTAATTTTAAAAGCATCAGATTTCTTTGGCTTCTCATTACATGGAAAGAGAAATATACCACGGCAACCCTTCAACACCAGTCGCCATGGAGAGCAACTTTTATCCATCTTTTGATTTTCAGCAGGAGATATGAAAATGTCATTTTTCTAGTTTCACACTAATTCTTCTGTCAAATATGAGCACTCTAACATTCTTTGTTGGTGTGAGTGGATGGTGTTAAGTTCTGTAAGGATTCATCTTATGATTATCTATTTTGCAAAAGTAACTTAATTTTCTTAAGCAGTATTAGCATTCACGTTACTTGGCACCTTTGGCAAAAAAAATTTTTCTTAAATAAAATAAAATAAACTCCTGGTAGCCAAAATTAAATGTAAACATATCCTTTTTTTTTTTTTTTAAAGTAATGCTACTCTGCCTTTTTTTCCTATTCTAAATACAGTAGCTCTTTTTTACTTTTTTGCAGGTTAGTCATGCTTTAGCAAAATGTTCTTCTACAGAACATTTAAAATAAAGTACTCTTATAGTGAAATAAAGTTTTTTTGTTTCATTTTACAGACCATAGCCACTAACGCTTTGCTTTTGTTCTTTTTCTTGATTTCATGCACATCTTTGTTTTAATATATACAATATATACAAACAATACATCCACATTGTTCTCGCTCATTCAGACAAAACTATACAAATAATTTCATCTTGCCATGTTATTGACCTTTGTGAATAAAATATTTAGCAATTAATATAACCCCTTTCAAATATTTCCTCACTTTTTTTCATTTCTACCTTTTTATATGTACACAGAAGCCACTCTGTTTGGATGAGATAGAGCCAAAACATGGAATTTACTGGCCAGAATGCAGCACCACACTGGTCGTTTAGGTGGCAAATGTCCAGGCAAGGTTTATGATTCCTTGGAATTACTACAGTTTCCAAGGTTACTAAAAAAGGCTACATGCTTTATCATTCTTGAGTAATTCTCATTGCAAGTGAAAGTAAGGCAAACAAATTAAAGTGCTGAACATGAGAAAAGGGACAAGATGATCACTACCCTCGCAGGTTCTTGGGAGGAGGTGGGGACGAGAAAGTAAATTTAAATTCTGTGAGCTGTTTCTCATTATTTCCCGTGCATTAGCTGTTTACCACACACCCTCCCTTCTGCAAATTTTCACAAGACATTAAAAACCTGCAGATTTTAAAAGTTGCATTAAGTGTGCTGTAGAGATTCAAACAAACATACGAACAAACAACAACAACAACATCAACAGAACAAAACAGTGAAGGAAATGAGAGCACAGACTCAGTAATGACTCGGGTGATCTAAGCCCTCCACTGAGAGCCAAAGCTTCAGCTTCTTGGAAGTAACCGAAGGTGCAGGCACAGCATTCCTTGTGCTGCTACCATCGCCCCACCTGTTCGTTTCTGTATTTTTGGTATAAATATTAGTACAGTTCCACACGATGTTTGAGTACAGCCCTATTGACAAGGAAAGCGGCTTCTTCCTAAGATGAGGAAGCCCTTCCAGTTCCTTCTGGTGTCTTGTTTTCCTGTGATCCAACAGAAGATTGAGTTCCAAGATGTCTTGCTGATCAAATTAAAAGTTGTCCATGAAAGTGCAAATGCAATGACCAAAACATTCTTGTTAAAATCCTGCAGCTGACTCCCCAGAACTGCAGAGGGAGTGTGTGTGTGTGTGTGTGTGTGTGTGTGTGTGTGTGTGTGTGTGTGTGTGTGCATGCGCATGTTTGTTGTTGTTGCATGTCTCTGCTAAAAACAGAAATGAAAACAGTCTGAGAAGCAATGTCACATTGCTAAGGGATGCTGCTGTATGTCTTCAAGTTCCTTGGCCTTTTTCAATTCTTTCACTCTGGAAGAGAAACAAAACACAATACCAGGTGATAACTACAGAGTGAAACTGTGACCAAATAAAGGAGAGGGCTGTCACCCCGGAAATGAGAAGCCCAGACAAGCCCCTTTGAAGACTAACAAGAAAACTTGAGAAATCGTTGGGAGAATATTCCAAGAAGAAAATGTGACCTTGTGTTAAAACATGTAAAGTTTTACATGGGGTGCTCCAAGAACTGAATAAAGCTATTTGTTCTGTTGTATTGAATCAAGAGTAACACTCACAAGTTGGAAATGTTTAATTATTTGAGGAACTTCTTCCTGTGTCTGATGAACTGTTATGAATGCCCCACAATTACTTGTGATGTAAACTAGGGGACTGACACACACATTTATTTAGCTCTAAGTAGACCCAGGGACTGAATGGTTGTTCTACTTGTAGACTCCAGATTGCTGGCTACCTTGAACTTGACTCTACAACTTACACCAAGCTCCTCTTCTCCACTCCTCTGCCTAATTTTAAGTCTTGGATCTTCATAATACTTGGTTCCCTACCATTCCACACAGCAACTGTAAAGGTCATGTTCTTTCTCAGAGCTCCTGTGACAGGCAACAGCAGGCTCAGGACCAAAAAGGGACTCGGTTTTACTTATCAGAGATACTAGAGTAAATAAATTTAAGCAAGAAACCCAAAGAGAGTCATGGAGGGCTCATACTGGCAATTTATAAATTACCACTCCAATTTACATTTTTTAAAATTTAAGACTTTGCCTTCAATGTGGTGCCCCGTAAGATGAGGTGAAGGGAGTGTTGTAGGTTCTGAGACCATCCCTCTGCACTGACAATGCAAGTGTATTAACGGCAGAATGGCCGCGTGCAAGATGCTGCTTGTGGAGTCACACAGTGCAGAGTAACATCTGCTTTCCCAGAAGTCTGCATGAGAGGAAGGCTTAGCCAAACCGAAGCAGTTGGAGGACAATTCCTACATTGCTCTAGTGACAGAACAAGTAAACGTCAGATTGGCAGTGCGCTTATTAAGAAGTCAGTCAAATGTGGTCTCTGATTCTAAGGTCTTTCCTACTGTTTTTGCCAGTCCACTAAAAGCTATTCGAGATGAGTGCTAGTATCTTCTAAATATACTTAATACAACTCAGGCAAATAGGAACATTCTGGAAAACAAAGCAAAGTACTGCTGTTATTACACAAGTTGAAAATGAATGGAAAGGACAAATATATTCTGAAAAATTCAAGAACTTTTCTATTTACAACCTTGCAGAATCATTTCTCAGTAGCATATAAACTGATGTGATATCTTCAGAGAAAGGAGATGTGCTCTTTTGAAAGATAAGTTTTATCTTTTATATTACTATTACATATGGAAGCTTGCTTGTCTAACTTACTGCATATACCAAGCCCAGCTAAGCATGGCTTATTTACAAACAGCAGTGTGTCTCCCAATCTGTCATGTCCTCCTTTCTTAAAGCTACACCCTCCCACCCCCAAGGCGGGGTTTCCCTATGAAGCCCTGGCTGTCTTGGAATTCTTCTGTAGCCCAGGCTGGCCTTCTGTAGACTCAGATACGCCTACCTGGGCCTCCCTCACGAGTGCTGAGGTTAAAGGCATGTGCCACCACCACCCAGCTTAATATGCATTTAAAAATTAACGATACCATAGTACATTAGGTCCTATGATGTGGCATTACATAGCATAGAATACTGTATTATTATAGGCCCCTGATTTTGGTCATGCATACTTGATAAATGGCTCCTTAAAAATTGAAACATGCTATAGTCTGTGTTCAATTTTTAAACATGCAGCATCTAAATAAATTAATACCCATTTTGGCTGGAACAATGCAAGGCATGCACAGATGCCAACCTTCCTTGCAGACATGCAGTTCTGCACTCACGCAGACCCATCTGCCAAAGTCCTGCAAGATGTGCATGCTATGTCAAACACCATGTTTGTTTGTGCATTAGCACAGAGCTCATTCACAGCATCACTGCTGAGATTTCTAGAGTTTCAAGAAGTCTGAACTCAGAATCTGATAGCATCACCATAAAGACAGCCCTTCATCTTTCTAGAACCATCAGAAATGCTTTACACACATTAACTTCATCGCTGAGGTGAAGTAAAAAGGACAGTGAATTGTTTTTGGCAACTTCATACCGAAGAATCTATAGCCACTTGATCAGGGTGGCGTAAGTTAGCACTATCCATCTAGTTAAACTGGTCACATTGGGTTTCTGAAGTCACCCCCTGTATCTGCCACCTACTTCTTTCATAACTAATTAAAACATCAATAAAGTTTTCACAAAGGTTTAAATTAATGCTGAATTAATTATGAATTAATGGTGTTCTCATGAACTACTAAAGAGGGGCTATGTCCACACAGAAAATCTATATAGGAAAAATAAGAATATTCCAATTTTTAGATAAATTAATTTCATCACAGAGTCACCACACCACCACATCAAAGGATTGGGATGCCATAGAACTTTCCTTTAAATAAGTCTGTTAAGGGATGAACTAGAGATAAGGGAGTGGGACTAACCATATTCCAAAAGCTTTCAAAGTTACTGAGTACCTGTGACTTTATGCAGTCATTAAAAGAAAACCACCCTCTAACTTATAAATGAGGAAGGCAAGACTCCTGTAGCTGATAACTGGCGGAGCAGCAGCTTGAACCCCCGTCTGTTTGACTTCTAAGCCTTTCTGTCGCACTCCACTGCCTCTAACAGACAGGTTGTTTCTGTTTGTTTGTTTGTTTAATCCCTACTATATTGTATTTTCCAAAAGACTTTAATAGGAAAAATAAAATTGGAGAAATACCATACTTTGGAGGAAGTCGATGACTGTTTTCTCTAAGATACCATCCTCCATGAAGCACTGTATTGAATTTAATTACAATGTTATGAGGAAACACCCTCATACAAAATGCGCCTGGTGTAACATAACCCTGGAACCCCAAAACATGCATAAAGAATATGCCCGTAATCCCAGAAGACAGCCTGCAATGAGATGCCCTGTTGACACCAATTCACCCAAGACAGCAGGAAACAGACCTGTGCTATCTGTCCTACTGACATCACAAAGGGGCTTCATGGCACTTGAACAGATAATGGGGATGGACTAGCTGTCTACATTTTCCTTGAAATCAAATACCAGGCAGATAAAATCATGTATTCAAGCTATATTGCCTCCAAAGAAAGGTTATATCTATAAATTGAATTATTAGGGATGATTTCTGAAGTACTAGAATTTTTCAACAAATTCTAAGAAACAAATTTCAAGTCAGTATTTCAATGATATTTAAAAAAAAAAAAAAATCTATGTTGCCTTATCAGCCACAGACACAGATAATCACTAAAGCTTTATCAACAAGAAAGACAAATGAAGTCTAAACATCATCTGTCTCTGCCTTCCTCCTTGCTCATGTGGTCTCTGTCAGCTACAATAGATTTGTGCTTCTATATTAAGCATCATGCCTGTTTGGCATTCTTTAAGACATTTCTTTAAAATGTCTGTGTGTGCACGGACGTAGGTACCCCCCTCCCCCCAGGGAACAGCTCTCCAGAGTCCACTTTCTCCCTCCATCATAGATTCTGAGGACTGGGCACCAGTTAGTGCAGCAAGCACCGTTACCCACCGAGCCATCACACTGGCCCTAAAAGGTTCCTAAGATATTTTTCTATGCATCTGCTACAGCTTCGCCTTATAAATGTGTTCATATGATGGGAACTAAAAAATTCAGTGAAAACAGTAATTCATTTTTGTTTTACTCAAACCAAAATAAATTGTCTGAACTGTTTTGCTTGGTATCTCCTGTGCTACAGACATGTTTCGGTACAAGAACTTGGCAAACATAGACCTGAATTTTGGAAGCTGGATTCCTACTTGAAAATACTGTACTTGTGGTTACCACCTACACAACTTAAAAGCACAGGCACACAAATAACCTTTTTATATTTCACAGCAGCTGAGGTTTGGGTTTTCTTAAAGAATTACAAATATGAGGCTCATGTAGGACTAAGAACGAAGTGAGCCTAGAAATGCCCTGGGTGGGTGGGTGCATGGGTATGTATGTATGTATGTATGTATGTATGTATGTATGTACGTACGTATGAATGAATTTTACTTGTTTCTGAATCCCATTACACAGAAGACAGCCAAACTAGTTTCCCATGACATAGTACAGACAAATACAGGACAGGAGCTATGTGTTATTATTATTATTTTGGTTTTTTAAGACAGGGTTTCTCTGTAGCTTTGGAGCCTGTCCTGGAACTCACTCTGTAAACCAGGCTGGCCTCGAACTTACAGAGATCTGCCTGTTTCTGCTTCCCGAGTGCAAAATCTATGGTTTCCTCCAAGGAGAGCTACAAGGACCACATTTCTTTCTATTTTTAATCATGCATATGTGTGTGTATCTATGTGAGGGCATACGCACAAAGTATAGATGCTCTCCCCTGGAGCTGGAACTACAGAACCCAACTTCCGTCTTCTGCATGAACAGCAAGTGTTCTTAACCACTGAGCCACCTCACCAGCTCTGGGACCATATTTCTGACTTTCCTATCAGTAATTTGGAAGGTAGCTGACTAGCTGGGAGGTACAGGAGTCAGGACATCAAATCTTTGAATTGTGATCATTCAAATATTAACATTACCAGACAATCCCAGGATCTTCTCCAGCACTCTAGGCTGTAAATAATTGACACTGAGATACCATGACAATCTCAACCAAAAACAAAAAGAAAGTTGCGTCAGAATGGACTTGAGAGATGTATAAGCAACAGCCCTGAATGCCAGCAGAAGCCCACAGGGTTGCCTCCGTCAGATGTCCAATGAGAATTCATGAATAAATGAAACAGGCCTGCTTCAGGGACTCTAGTGAACAATGGCTCCATGGGCAAAGCGCCAGGCAAAGCCGCTTCATTACAGCTACTGGGTGACGCTCAGCCAGAGGGATGCTTCGTGACTCAGAGCCTTGCAGTGCTGGCCTGCAGAGATCCACTGAGCAG